GTCTTGGGGGGCCGGGCAGAGGCCATTGTTCCCCGGAGCTCTTTCTCTGCCCAGTGTTCTCACTGCCCTACTGCTGTGCTCCAGGCTCCCCCGAGGCTCATGGGGGGCAGGGGAGCTTCCGAGGTGGGCTGGACGGCCCTCCCTTCTTGGTTTCTAGATCATGTTTCTTTGCACAGAAGCTAGGGCGGGGTGGAAAATGATTCTCCTTAGAGCGTATAAACTCTCTGCCTTCTTCCTGCCCCCAGAACTGCCCTTGGCTTTGAGGCGGCTGCGGGGCGTGTTCCCCGCACCTGCAGGCAGGTGGGAGGCTCTTATGGGGCCTCTCAGCCCTGAGACCATGTCAGAGCCGCTCTACCTGCCAGGTTGTCAGCAAGCCTGTGGGTTCACCTTCAGCAGGTGGTTAAACTGATTGCCTAATTTGCTTTCGGTTGAGAGAGGATCCAGAAAATTTGTATGTGGATTACTGTGGTGGGAAGTAACTTCCGAACTCAGCCTTGGCTGTGCCTGGCCCTGTGAGCAAGTCACATCCAGTTGTGAGGTTTGGGGGTGCCGAGCTGCTGAGGGGCATTGCCTGAGGCACGGGAGGAGGAGATGGCAGGGCCGCTCTGAGGCCTGCACAGTCGCTAGCGCAGCCTGACTCTTGTCTAGCTGGAGGCCCAGGCCAACGCCGGCGGCCCTGGTTCCAGCACGCCTGCCTCGGGCACTCGCCCCTCTTGATTGAAATGACTTCAAGTCCAGAGCCACTTGTAGGATTTGGAAGACTGAGCGCTTTGTTTCTACGATGGGGTCCCAGAGCCAGGTTGGGTGCCTCACCAAGAAGGCCTGGCCACTCGCGGTATGTTGCCAAGGGCACTTGCTGCTGGGCCACCATCCCTCCCCATTTGCCTATAGAAATAAAGCTTTTACAAGTCAGTGATCAGAAGTCACCGGAAGGCATCAGATTCTTCATGCAGGGTCTCCATGCGAGGGTCTGGGGGGCTCTGTGTAACCATGGATACTATTGTTTGGTCTGCACAGATTTGCATCAGTTGCCACCATGTAAAATTTTTATTTTAAAATAAAAATTCAGCGCTGGCTGTGTGGCTCAGTTGGTTGGAGTGTCATCTGTGCACTAAAAGGTTGCAGGTTCGATTCCTAGTCAGGGCACGTTACCCGAGTTGCAGGTTTGATTCCCCATCGGGATGCATACAGAAGACAACTGATCTGTGTTTCTCTCTCTCTCTCCCCGCCCCCACCCACCCCGTCCCCACTCCCGCTTCTTCTCTCTCTAAAATCAGTAAACATATCCTTGGGCAAGGATTAAAATAGTAACAATAACAATAATAATAATAAGTAGAAATGCAGATTTTTTTAAAACCAGAAGATCTGGTGCCCTCCCATAGCCTCCCATCTCACCCCAACACCGAGTGAGGGCAGAGGGTGGGTGTCTGTTTAGTATCACTCTTGCTGCTGCTGGATTTCTTGTTGCCCAGTAAAGGTAAGAGAATGTTTCTAGTACATGTATCTCCATCAAAAGATAGATTCAGGAGGTCTCATCTGCTCTGATCTCATTTCTTCCAAAGATCTGGCCCTGAGGTTGTGTGTTTGAGACCCTCATTCTACCAGGTAACCTGCTGACTGGTGGAGAGCTTCCCTGACTACAGCTTTTAGGGAGAAAGGCGGGGGGGGGGTCCCTGTCCCCAGCTCAGCGATCCAGCCCTGCAGGGAGGAGGGATTAGAGAATGGACGGAACAGGCAGAAATCATGGTGCCAGTGGTTGCTGAGCACTCTCATTTCATTGAATTCACAGTCCAGGGAGCGTTGCTTGTCCTGGGAGAGGCTGGGGCAGCTCCAGTTTAAGGGGGACCCTGGACGGGAATCGTTGAAGGAGTTTTGGGAATGCCGTACCAGGGTTGCAGTTCTGGTCCTGCCACTTATTAGATAGGCTTGCATGAGGTCTCTGAGCCTCAATAAAATGAGCCTAACAGCCTCTCCTTGCTGAATAGTTTTGAATGGAGATAGTATATGAAGTAGTGGGCATAGTGTACCGGCAAATGGTTTTTGTAATAATAAATGTAGTTATTATGTTCGAGAAACTGAAACTTGGCATGTGGGGGAAAGAGATGGATATAAATAAAGAGAAACAATCCCTTGCAATTCAGTTAGATTGGGGATTGGATTTCTAGGCTCATTGGTGTCCCCGGTCCTTGTCTCCCCCTCTTCCTCCCAAATGAGGCAGATACTGCAACCTCCTCTTAGAAACCTGCCGAGTCATCACAGCCTTGGGACAGGGCAGCAGAGCCAGGGGAATGGTGGCCACTCTAGGGAGAGGGGGAGGGCGGCGTCTGCACTTGGGTAAAGGCCCGCATCACTGACGTTTGTCTGTCCCCTGACGACGTTGCCAGCTTGCTTTTCATAGTAAAATGAGGGGGAAAGATGTCACAACTGCATTTTGATGCAGAATGTTTTGGAGGTCAATAAAGGAAAATACACTGATGAACAAGTGTCTGCCCTGGGCCAGTATCTAATCGGCTCCCTCTCTGCGCTGTTCTTATCGTCATCCTCTGATGCTCTAGTTTAATTACCCAGAAAGCTTTCTGACCACCACGGGTTTGTCCAACCATTGACAAGCTTCTTGATGCTTTTACTTCTGTGTTTGTTTCTAATTGTTGGTTTCAGTCATTCCAAACAGCTCTGAGATTCTTGTCCACAATGCTGAGGCTGAAGAATATACAGACAAGATATAAAGGTGGGGAGGGCGGGGCATGGCCAGACCCCAGGGGTCACACACCAGGCCTCACCCCCAAGCATCACAAAGCCCCCAAACTATTGCCCCCATGACTCACAGCGAATATCTTCATCGGGTTCAGTTTTAATGCTTGAGTCTAAGATACACAGCAGATTGGATAGGCTGTTGATAACATTATTCTTTTGAATTAAAATTAGGCACAGCTTGCTGAAATCAATGAAAACCAGCTTAGATTCTCAAGAACTGCAAGCTTTATGTGAATCATTTGATGTGGGATGTCTGGCCTTCTCTGCTATAGAAAACCTGGAAAATATAGAAAGAGGCCAAAGAAGGGGAAAAAAACCAAAAACACGTCTTACCACTGGTCCCGTAACTCTTTGAGCTTTCACTATGCTGGGTCAAGTCTTACTGTGGTGCAATGACTTGTCTTCATGGCAGTCACTCTGCAAGCCACTTGAGGCCGGGACATGTCCCTTTGTTCTGTGGTCTGCTCCAGGTACTGCCAGTAGAAACGGGCTCTTTCATGGGGTTGCGAGCAAAGCATTTTGGGAGACTTACGCATGGGAAAATGTGGTCTGGTGGAAAGGTTTATTAGGGTGGAAATAAAAGGCTTCCCTGGGTGCCCCTTATCTTATCTTTGTTTATCCCACCATGGAAAAAGTCCAGTTTTGTCTTCATCAGGGCCAGAAATAGGGCCAGTGTCCAGAGATTCTGTGCCATATTAAAGCTTAGTTCTTTGGAGCCTGTGCGGTCTGCTGTGGGCCCCAGATGGCTGCTAGACCTGCATGACAGCTACAAAATGAGCATGTGTTAGAGAAAGGGGGAGGGGAGAGAAGGGGCTTCTTTGTAAAGCTTTTTATATTAATTTGGGCTTTGGATGTACCCAGCGCTTTTTTCAAAATAATCAGTCAAACTTCCCAAGTTTTTGCAGGCTTCTGATGGATCTACCTCCTAACCAATTTGTTCTTTTCCCAGGCTAGACTGACAGGCCTCTAGGTTGCCATTTTCGCTCGTATTGCGCATGTGCTGACCTCCTCCCTTATTGTTCTGTCCCTCCCCCCAGTCAGCTGCCAGGAAGGGACCAGTGTTTCCCCGGGGAGTGTGTGAAGCTGTGCCTTTCTGGTGAAGCAGGCAGGCTTATGCTCCCTGGTTGACTATGCTTGACAATGTCTGATCCCCTTTGCCCCTTCCCCTTTATTAATAACTAGCAAACTACTTACGCAAACACAGGCTTGGTACCGCATGTGGCTCAAAATGATCAAAACCAGAGCAGTTTCTTCCCTCCTTAATGAGGGAAAAAGAGTACAAGCTTTGCAGTCAGTTAGGCCTTGATTCAAATAATCATTCTTTGTATTAGTTTTCTGTGTAACAAATCACCACAGGCTTAAAACTCCATCTATTAGCTTATAGTTCTGTAGGAAGAAGGCTAGATGGCGGAGTCCAGGTGGGCTCAGCGAGCTTCCTGCTTAGGATCTCACCACGCTGAAGCCCAGGTGTCAGCCAGGCTAGCCTCTTACCTGGAAGCTTTGAAAAGAAGCCACGGCTAAGGGATTCAGGTTGTTGGCAGAATCCAGTTCCTAGTGGCCATAGGTGTGAGGTACCCCTTTCCTTGCCAGTCACTGGGGAGTCGCTCTCCTAGAGACCACCCACATTCCTTTTCATGTGGCCCTGCCATCTTCCAAGTCCGTGTGGTATCCTTTTCACGCTTCTGGTCTCTCACGTCCTCTCTGCTACCTTGAAAGGCTTTGACTGAGAATTAAATAGAGCGAGGTAGTACGTGCCTATACAGTGCCTGCTGAGGGTTAATTCTTTCTAATCCGTCTCTCACTAAGCCAGTTTTATTTTAAGTCTTGTCTGATTCAGACACAGCGCAGCAGAATTGTAAAGGGCCATCTTTATCTCAAGTACTTGTCATTCTAAAAAGTTGTCATGATTCATCATTTTCCTGGGCAGAGGAATAAAAAGCAACAAGAGGGGCAACATGCCCTGATCAAAACTTTTCAGACTTTTCCCTTCCTTCTCCCCAACCCCCTGCTCTGCAGCTTAGGCCTGTCCACTTCAGCTGCTGTCTCTGGGAGCGCTGGGGGCGGGGTGAAAGCGCGCTGCCTGCGTCCTCAGACAAGTGGTGGCCTCAGGTCGGAGGCGGGCCCACCAGCAGCTGGCCCCTGCCACTCAGCAGGGAGGCCAGCCCTGGCCAGGGGGCGCATGAAGAGGGCGTGGGGGCCACTTGACTGCTCACTGACTCTCTGCCTGTCCCTCTGTGCTTCCTCAGGAGATCCTCCGAGAGCTCACACTGGATGCCCTCCTGGACATGAACGAGGCCAAGGTGAAGGAGACGCTGCGGCGCTGTGGAGCCAGTGCGGAGGAGTGTGGCCGCCTGCAGTACGCCCTCACCTGCCTGCGGAAGGTGACAGGCCTGGGTAGGTAGGGCCTGCCTCCCCAGCACTGAGGCCAGCCCCATCGGTCCTTCTCCCTGCACTTTGTCCTAGACGCCTGCCTTCTCTCCCCAGGCCTAGCCTGGCTCCCTGGGGCCACAGTCTTTGCTGAGGTGGATGATGGGTGGGGCCAGCATGGACCAGCATTTCTGGGGTAGCTTGGAAAGGCCGGAGTAGACATTCAGAAAGTGTGTGGTGGACCTGACCCGAGAAAGAGGCTCTCCCCAAGTCAGAGGGCTCAGGTCTGGACTGGTCTGGCCAGCACTAACACAGGGACGCTTTAGCCATTGCTAGAAACCCCGGGCCGGTCTGCTGGGTGGGCCCGGTATGGTTTCCCCTCTTCGGAGCACATTTGTTAGGTCTGTGAACCCTCCATTGGCACCCTGCATTCCAGCCCCACTCCCCACCCTAGGTCACCCCGAGTCCTCTCCCCACCTCCTGTTCTCATCAGCATGCTGGGCTGTGCGCTCACAAGGCACACGCTGAGGTGGGCCCAGCCTGAGCCGAGCAGCACTCGACAAACTGCGGTGTTTCAGCCCTGAGTGTGCATGGCTGCCCCAGGCGAAGGGTGTAATCCAGGCATTAGATGAGTTCCTGGGAATTATTTGCTGGCTTCCTAAATGTTGCCTTGGAAACAGCTTCAAATACCCTGACTTAATGCTCCCACTACCAACCACACAGTTAACACTTTGAAATGAGTCTAATGAGTAGAATTAGTCCTGTTTTTTAATTATCTAAGTCACCTATCTTATCTCTAGCTGCCAGAGGCTTAAGGAAGGCACTGAGGTTTATATTCTGCTCAACTTTTCTCTCAGGGAGGGTTAAGCTTAATTTCCTCCCCAGCCCCATTGTACCAAGTTGTCCTCTGGACACACAGCCACTGTGGAGAGCTTCACTCAGTTCAGGAAACCTCAATATGCCCGGCCTCCCAGCATGTGTCAAAGAATAACCATAACAGAGACATGGTCAACATTCTGGTCCCCATATTTTACAGAGGAGGAGGCTGAGCCAGCGAGGGGAGGCCAGGGACACATAGTAGTTAGTGGCAGAGAGGAGATTTAAGCCTCAGTCTTCGATGGTGGTTGGTGTGTTCCTTCGTTGTAGAAATTTAAAAGTAGAAATCCATCCAAGCAGAAATCTTGGGCTAACTTGTCAGCTCTGCCCCTGTACGCCTGAGTTGTAAAGAAGCGCGGAGGAGCCAGCTGTCGAGCGGTTGTGGCCCATCTGTGGTAGGAAGGCTGCTGCCTGCCCATCGTGGGTGCCAAGCTAGGGAGATGGCTAACTTAGGAAGCACTAATTTATTAAGCCAGGCACTTGGCACTCATGGGGCAACACCCTTTTAAGATGTGGCGGTAAGCTCCTTTAACAGCTAGCACATCGGACAGCGTTGGGCGAGCTGTCCGGGTTCCCACACTGGCACACAGCAGAGCTGGACTTGGCACTCAGGTTCCCTCCCCCCGAGGGTGCTTCTTTCACTCGGCCCTGGAGGAGGCCCCTCGAGAGAGGGCCTTTAACGCGTCCTTCTCTCATCTGATCTCAGCTTGTGGTGCCCCTACCTCCCCAAAAGGGTCCGGGTTACACCCCGCCCAAATGGGACGGCCCAATGGTGGCCACACGTGAAAGGCACCTGCTGGACTGGGGGGGCACCAGTGTTCGCTCCGTCTCTCGGATCATGCAGGCGGGGTCTTCACTGCTCCCACCCAGGCTTGGCGAGAGCGGCCTGGTTGCAGCCTAGCTCAGCCATTTACAACCCGAAGGAGCTGGGTCAGTGATTTAACCCCACGGTGCCTCAGTGTCCTCGCCTGTGAAAGGGAGGTGATAACAACACCTCTCTCTTAGGGTGGTTGCGAGGATGAAATGAGTTACGGTCAAGTGCTTAGAACAGAGCCTGTGATGTATTCGGTGCTCTTTTCAGCATTAGGCTCTTGTATGATGGGAAATGTTACAGTTCTCTCCCTTGTGGTCTGTAGTGTTAAAGGTGAGCGAAGGACGGTTCTCTGTGCCAGTGGCTGTTAAACAGGGGAACATCATCCCTGTTCCTCATCCATAGCACAGATCGCTAATCACACCCCACGCTATTCCTACTGAGTGACTCCAGGGCTTTCTCAGGAGCCACTGCCAATTGACTGGGGTTCACATGCACAGTGAGACCGTCCTACCTAAGCTGGCTCCAGGCATTCGTCATAGTCAATAAGCAGTTTGGAGAATTGGGGACATGTTTCCTTTGGTGGCAGACTTTCCCATGGATACATGGAACTCATTCCTTCCTCCCCGACCCAGAAGCATGTGAGTGCCTCCTATAGGGTCGTGTGTAAGTGAGTGTAAGTTGCAGCCGCAGTTCCGCAGAAGGAGCAAGCACAAGGAACAGCAGACTGGGTAACTCCTTCTGCCAAGCTGATTCATGGATAGAGAGTCACCATGTGGTGAAGTAGGAGGAAGGGCCTTAGAGGAGGGGATGGAACTCACAAGGAAACCCTAGAATCGGGAAGGCTAATCTCTGTCCACCACACCCGATGCGCAGCTGGGCGGCTAGGACTCCCTCCCATGACGGAGAGCTCGCGGCCTCCCAGGGCTATGCCGTTGTAGGTTACTCAGATCTGATACCCCCATGGGAGGAGGCCAGCACTGTGGCTGGAACAGTGGACTCGGTTTCCACCCCACCGCTTGCTTAGCTGTCTGACCTCAGCAGGGAATGTGGCCTCCCTGGATCTCAGTGACCTCACGTGCTGAGGATGCAGGGAGACAGGGTACATACAAGGTACAACGTAGAAGCATTCCAGGGTAGAAGTTCATTTTGTCTTGAGTCACAATCTACCTTCCTGTACTTTCTACTCATGAACAGACATGAGGAGGGAGGTGTCTCCTTCCCCATGAAAGGGTTTCTAGATGGGGCCCTTGTCCCTGCCTCCGCCCCACCTCCTGTGAGGATGAACCTGAGGTCCTTAGCAAGACATCCAAGGTTCCCCCTGAGCTGGACCCAGGTAGACTGACCCTCCAGCTTCATCTCTTATGTCTCCCTGGCTTGTCCTGACCTCTCAAGGCACAAGGAGCTGTTAGTAGTTACCAGAAGATGCTGTGTGCTCCCTGCCTTGGCACGTGCTGTTTCCTCTGCCCGGTACACCCCAGGTGCCACCTCCTCTGGGAAGCCCCCTTATCCCCCAGGCTATTTTGGGTCCTCCCCCTCTGTGCTCCCTCAGTCCCCACGCATCTCTGTGTCAGCAAAACTCACTGTGTTGAGGGTCACTCTTGCTAGACTCTTCAGGCTCAGTGGGTGTGTCCTTTTTATGCCTCGATACCCACTGTCTGGCAGGCGCTTGAATGAATGGTCAGGTTGTGCCCCCGAGTGGGAACCTCGCAGAGTCTCAAGGTCTCGGGGCCTCAGGTGAGGGTCACTGTGAGGGCAGCCAGAAGTCCTTCGCCAGCTCCCCTCAGAAGTAAGTGGCTGCTGATCCCTTTCTATCTGGATATCTTTTCTAGCAAATTTCCAGGGCAGTTTGCTGTTGGAAGGTTGGTGCAGTTCCTTTTCCTGACATTTGAATTTTCTCAGAGTAGAGTTATCCCACAACACACCCCAGGGTCTCTTTCCTCACTCTCAGATCAGTTACCGCTTCCCTCTCTGAGGTCGCCCACTTTGGGGCTGGCTTTGCTGGCTTATTTCCCGCAGACCTGCCTGCCAGCAAGAGCCCTGCACAAGCCAGTCCCTTTCTGGACCTCATTTTTCCCTCTGTAAAATGGGGACAGTACTATCCACGCTGGTGGCCTCACAGTCGCTAGGAAAGGTGGAAGAAAATGCATGAGAGGCCTTTATACACCCGGTAAAGCGCAGTAGTTGAGGCCTTCCATTAAGGAACGGTGTGACCCCAGGCAGGCCATTTGGCCTCCCGAGGCCCTGGCCGCCTCACCCGGGAATTCCCCCAGCCTCAGCCCCCTGTGACTCACTTCTTGGCCCACAGGAGGGGAACACAAAGAGGACTCGAGCTGGAGCTCGTTGGATGCCCGGCGGGAAAGCAGCTCAGGGCCTTCCACAGACACCCTCTCGCCGGCCTGCCTGCCCTGGCCCCCGGGGAGCTCCCAGCTGGGCCGGATGGGCAGCAGTGCCCAGGGCCCACGCTCCGTCTCCGTGTCAGCCCTGCCCACCTCGGACTTCCCAACCCCCGGCCCCAGCGAGGGCCTCACAGACACCTGTATCCCCCTGCACGCCAGCGGCCGGCTGACCCCCCGCGCCCTGCATAGCTTCATCACTCCCCCAACCACGCCCCAGCTGCGACGGCACACCAAGCTGAAGCCACCGAGGACACCGCCCCCGCCCAACCGCAAGGTCTTTCAGCTGCTGCCCAGCTTCCCCACGCTCACCCGGAGCAAGTCCCACGAGTCTCAGCTGGGGAACCGCATTGATGAGGTCTCCCCATTGAGGTAAGTGTTCATACCAGACAGGTGCTGAATTTGTCATCCACTGCAAGTTTTGAGTACAGTTTTCTCGTTATAAAGTAATATAGACTCAGTTTTAAAAGGACACAAAATCAACCAACATAGAAGTGTGCACAGTAAAAAGTGAAAGGTGCCCCGCCCCTCAGTTCTCGCCCCAGACCACCTCAGTGGTTGGGCTGAATTCTACTAAATCTCCTTCAAGTGCGTGCATGCACAGACACGCAAATGAAATGGTGCTTTGTGTACCGGTTGGGGTGGACTGGGTTATGCGGCAGCGACAGATGACCCCTGGGTCTTAAAATAAAGATTTATTTCTGGCTCATGCTACCTGTCCACCGAGGGTCAGCTTCATGCCAGGTCCCAGGCAGATGGACAGCCACTGTCTGGAACATTCCACTGTGGCAGAAGAAAAAAGATTTTTGTATGTGACACACTAGCAGTTAAGTGCTCTTTCTTGAAAGCTCCACTCAGCATCCATGATCCTAACCAAACAAAGGAACCAAGAAATGTAATTGTCTCGGATGCCCAGAAGAGAACTGGAATATCTGGCTAAAACCTCTAATGGTCATCAAAAAACCATGTATTCTGTTCTATAATCTATTTTTCAACTTCCCTTGATATCTCTGGGAACTTCATGTCAGTTATGTCTTGAAATACCTTACTTTTTTATTTTTTTAATTTCTTATCCATGTATTTAAATAGGAAATAACAGTCACATAGTCCAAAATGCAAAGGCTTCGTAGCTCAGCTTTGTAGGGATGTAGAGTCTAAAGCGACCCCCTCCCATTTTCCTTAGTCACCCAGTTCCCCTCTCAGGATCAACCACGTTATTAGTTCTGTATGTATTTGTAATTATTCAAATACCTCCTCTTTTTCACACTTTTATATCATTCCGTTGTATAGTTTAACTAGCACCTCCCCTCTCAATGGACATTGAATTCATTGTCATTTTTGTTATTACAACAATTGCCCCTGTCAGTACCCTCTTGTGCGCAGGGCAGAGGAGAAGGGGAGAGCTTTCTTTGCGTACCCGTTACCCTCTTGTACGGGGGGCTGGCTTCTCTCTTGCCATGGGCACCCCTTTTCTGGTCTGGGGTGCGCTTGTTCCCCGGCCCCAGGGCAGCCTGCCTTGGGCCCCCATGGGATGGATCCTGGACACCTCTGATGGTTTTGAGCGTGTCACCCAAGGAGAGAAATCCCGATCAGACTGTCCTGCTGGGGCCCACCCCCCACTCCCTGCTCCTCTAGAGGGGGTTGCAGCCGTCCTCCCCTCTGGGGCCTCCCGTCTCAGAGAGCAGGGCGATGCTAACCGCTGCATGGATGACACATTGGCACACGCGAACCAGAGGGCATCTCAGCGGGCAAAACCCAGGCGTCTGCTTCTCATTTTCTCCTGAAAAGGGCACTGGGAGGGCTCTGTCTCATCCCAGCTCCAGGCAGAGAACAGCCTCGGGCAGATGACCACTGCCTCAGACCCCACAGCCCGTGGCCGGGCCAGGGCCCTGCGCTTCTGAGTCGTGCCTCCACGGGGCCACCAGAACTAGCACTGACGGCCACTCAGGCCGCTGGCTGCCCTCAGTGAGCCCGAAGGACAGACTGAATGACCTGGGTTTCCTGAGCCTCTTTGCCCAGTGACAGCATTGCTCAGGGCCTGTCCCCATCTGGCCCTGCTTGGAGGTCACCTTCTGCTCCCACCACTGGCCCCCTTGCCCTCCTGCCCCAGCCATTTCCCCTCTGGCGGACTGACCCCTTCTCCTGCCTGGACCCTGAGCGCCCTTCCCCCCGGGGCCCTGGGCAGAGCTTCCCCACCAACAGGCAGGTGATCTCGGGCGCTGTGCAGTGGGGGTGCTCTAATTACCATGCTGGGTGGCCAGCAAGGCTATGAAGAGCTGACGTATCAGAGTGCACAGCTGAAGCTTTGGTGCCCACTGGGCAAGGAGGTGGGGGGAAGGGCACTTCTAGTCCTTCCCATTGAGGACACGGCCCCGCACTCTCCCAGCCGCCCCACCCCACTCCCTAGGGGCTCAGAGCCCGCAGGCAGCACCTCGCCCCTCCTTCCCAAGGGATGATGTTCTGGGGACACGCTGAGCCAGCATGGTGAGCTAATCCTGCTTCCTCTGTCTTTTTTGTCTTCTCCAGGTTTGGTAAGAATGATTCGTTTTCATCCCTTCTGCCACCGGGAGCTGTGTTTGTGTCGCCATCCCCATCGGGGGTGGATTTTTTGGACCCTCTCTTAGTGCACTTGGCCTTTCCATAGCCCAGGAGCAGAGGTGCCAGGAACTGCCTCTGGAGGCAACTCTAGGACAGGTGGCCTTCACCTGGTGAGGTGACCTCAGCCCAGCCAACAGCTTCTCTTCGTGAAGCAGAGAGACATTGAGTGTCACAGTCTGTGGGCCCTCCCCCACGGCAGGCCCTCTTTGCACCTTGCCCTCCCCCAAAGTGCAGGGAGTGTTTACCTGCTGGGCTGCCTCAGGAGCCCCCAGTCCTGAGAGGGAGGTACCACCTGTCTGGTGTAGGTGCATGCTAGCCATCGCAGACCCCAGCTGACTTCTCAGGACCCGTCTCTTCAGGAGAGGGGTGTCTTTCGAGGCAGGAATGCGGCTCGCCTCTGAATGAGGCCCCGAGAGATCGGCCCTCTTGGGAGGGACAGGGGAAGCCAGGCAGCCTTGACCTCCTCCCCACCCCGCTCCGTCCAGGCTGGGAGCAGGTTCTTGCATGTGGCTGTGCCATCGGGCTTCTCTCTCCTGAGTTGAAGTGGAGGTAAACAACATGTCTCTGGGCCTGCTGTCAGTGGTCCCCGTGGAGACGCAGAGACCTCCGGGTTTTGCCTGAGCGAAATAGCAGCATCTTTTTGTCCTGTCCTGAGCTGGCTAAGTAGAGCGATGAGGAGGGGACATCAGGCACTGACTTTGCCAAAGTGGAGCTGGCTGCAGGACCACCAGGGAGGCTAGGGCTGGGAAGGAGGGAGGCTTCCCGCACCACCCCCCGCCCCCGCCCCCACCAGGCACCGACAAGACTCCAGGGCCTTCCAGAGCAGCACCTGCGCCCCCGGGGCGGCCTGGCCCTGTTACTCTCCAGGTTGCTGTGGCAGTGCAGGGCCCGTGCCAGCGAGGCTGCTGCTCCGCTTCCCAGGAAGGCAGGACGAGGCCTTCGGGGCCAGGGTTCCGTCTAGTGAGGGACAGTCGGCACCTGGCAGGTGTGTCCTCACCTCCCTGGATCCCATGCCTGTGGCACTTTGCCCATCAGTCACAGGTAGCACTCAGAGAGAGAAGGTTGGACTCTCACTTTCCCGCGGTCTGTCTCTCTTAGGCTGGCAGCCTAACCCCTTTTTAGACCCCTGTGCTTTGGTGGCCGTGGCTGCTGCCTGGGGTGAACCCCAGGAGGGACTCAGGAAGAGTCAGCCCCATGGCAGGGGTGCTGGATGGAGCTGCAGGCGGTACAGTTGTGGGTTCCTGGTCATCAGCAGGACAACAAAGGGCCTTTGGTCCTGACCCAGCCCCTGCTTTGTGGTGTGTAAGGAGCAGCACCTCCAACATGCCCTTCTTCTGGTTGGGTGTGTGGTACTTGGCCTTAAAGGGACCAGCACTTAGTGAGCCCCAGCCTTGTGCCGGGCCAGTACTCGGGGACCTGGGAGGGTGTGGTGGCCTTCTAGGGGTGGTAGGGGCAGGGCTGCTGACTCACAGGACTTCAGTGACCACGCATTCCTCAAGCACTGTGTTCCTGATCTTTCTGAGTCACAGGTTTCTGATAATAGGATGAAAGTTTAGATCCTCTTTCCAAGGAAGTCTACAACTGCTGGTTATCAGTGCAGAGAGTTCTCAGGCCCACCCATGGGCTCAGCCGAGAGCCCCTGTTCCGGGAGGAGACAAGCAGCACCGAGCGTGGGGAGGGCGGGGTGCACAGATGCAGGATGAGGGGAGGGCATTGGACCTGTGAGCTGCCTGTAGATGGAGGGGTTGCTTTCAGCTGGTCCTCCATGGCCCACTTGTGATGCTATAAACACTGGGGATGTCTGTTCTTATGGGGAAGCCAGCATTGGGAGGAGAGACCAGGGTGCCCTCTAAGAAGGCAGACAGAAGGGGTGTCTCAAAGCCCATGGGCCGAGGCTTTCCCAGAGACTCAGACTGAGTGCCAGGTGGGTCTGGGCCCCATGGCAGCATGGTAAAGCTTTACCTTGTCCTTGATCCACCTGCCAGATCTGCAGCAGTTGCCCTCAGCAACGCTGTCAAGGCTAGAGAGGTACTGGATGTGCTACAAGCTAACCAGCCTCAAACCCTCTGCCAAGGGTCAGACCACTTCCACCCACTTAACACGAAGTGACCAGAATCGAGCCCACACACCTTGGTGACCTGTGGGTGCATCCACGAGAGAGTGCCAGAGGCTGGGGCCTCTGCCCTCACACACTTTGCCTTCTGCCCCGCAGGCCAGCCTTCCACCACTGCTAGAGACCGCACAGAGACAGCACTGAACGGTCTGCAGAGGCCAGGCAGTAGCAGTCATTAGGGAAGCAGGCCAAGCGTGCGGGCGACCACACTCCCCTTGGTCTAGCTTGTCCTATCTCTGTTTTCATAGATGCAGGTTCAGAGATGTTTCTCTGCTATTCAGTACGTTTTCACACCCATCTAGCCTGTGATCTCTGTCAGAGAAGGTCACAGGCACAAGCTGTCCCTGCAGGGCTTCCTCAGCCTGACGACTTGGCCTCTTTCCCTGCAGATCTCCCGCACGGATCCCCACAGATGGTACGGAGGGACATCGGCCTCTCAGTGACACACAGGTAGGCCCAGCCAAGTGGGGACAGGTGGGCTGAGACCCACTCATGCCGGGACCACGCTTCACTGTAGTCCTGATCCCTGTATCTCAGGACTCTTTGCTTCTCTTCTGTCTCCATCACCTCTGTGGACACAGCCCCGCACCCACTGGGAACCCCTGCCTGTTACCTGCGGCCATATGGACTTGTTGGGCCATCCCCTGCACCTCCTTGGGCCTCTTCCTCAGTCTGCTGACAGGTCCCAGGAGAAATAGAACCAATCTGGGGGAGGAGAAGCCAAGAGCTTCTTCAGCTTGATATCGTGTGGACCTCACGTCAGTTCACACATCAGTGCCCCATTGAGCTTGTTGAAACTCCTGATTCCTGGGCCCCATCCCTGACATTCCAGGCCTGCCATCTGGGGCTCTGGGGCTCATGTGTGTTGGGGAGGACTGACATGGGCCCGAGGACCAACAGCAGGGCTGGGCCTTAGGTGGCTGTCCCTGTTAAAGACTCTTGTGAAAACAATAGGGCACGCCTGTCAAGAGCTTTGCAGCTAGCCAGGGCTTTCACTCCCCCTGGGCTGGGAGCTGCACGCCAGCCTGTGCAGGAGCCGGCCTGGGATTCTCGGCGAGGGAGCCCCGAGGGGCAGAGTCATTTGCCTGAGGCCATGCAGCCAGTAAGACAGTGCTTGAGCCCTCTGGCTGGCGCCCAGACGCCCCTGTTTTCAGCCCTGTGGGAGTGGGGATGCCCGTGCCTCAGAGCCCCAGCACCACAGACACCCAGGCAGGCTGAGTGAGAGGAGATCTGAGTGCCTCCCTTGGCCCTACCCAAGGGGCCAGTGTGCTCTTCCCAAGACCGCGAGAGCTGCTGAGAGCAGGGCCTTGAAGTCAGGAACCCTCTGCCAAGTGCTGTGCACCTGTGGTCAGTAACCTCTCTGAGCCTCAGTTTCCCTCTCTGCAAATAGGACTTCCTCTGAGTCTTGTCAAGAGGATAAAATGGGGACCTGCGCGTCTGGGCTTCACATGTCCAGCAGTGGGGAGCACTTGGTGTCCCGCCTCTGGCTGTAGCCTAAGAGAAGCCATTACCTGAGGGACACCAACAGGATCAGCAGGTCCCTTCATTTGGCCTTTGTCTTGGCTGCACCTGGTTTCGCAGAGAGCTGAGGCTGCACCAGCGTGCCCCCAAGTCCCTCTTCGTTCTGCTGTTACGTGACAGGCTGTGCTTGTAAAAATCCATTCCTCCAACAGGTCCTTTCTGCCCTCAGGCCTCACCAGCCTATAAACTGGCTTTGGGCTTTTTCTCTGGAGGATACTACCCACTCAACCCCCATCCTTCCTTCCTTTCTATGTACCTCTTATGCTTTTTAATTTTTAAAATTTTGATCGAAATATATTCATACATTCAAAATTCAATAGGTATAAAAATGTATATATACAGAAGAGTCCCCTCTTTTTCATGTCTACAGTCCCCCAGACCCCCCTGTAGGCAGATTTGGCAGTGTCTTGTGGCCTCTAGAGAGACTTTTACACAAGCAAGTGCACATACAGATTCTTCTGCCTCCTTTTTCATTTTAACACAAATATGATACATAGTATACACATTGTCCTATACTTTGCCTTATTTTCTTTTTAAATTGAGGTGTAATGTATACGGAGCTAGGTACACAAACACATCTTGGCCTACGTATACACCCCCGTACACTGCCCGGACGCAGGATCAGCGCATCCCAGCCCCCAGAAAGCTATCTTGGGCCCTTCCCTGGCGAGAGTGCCATCACCCAGAGGTTACTGTCCACACCTGTCATCATAGATTATTGTGTCTGGTACTTAAGCTTCACATCAATGGAATCATACAATATTGTACCATAATTTTTTCACTGACAATGTAATTTGGAGATCGTTCCGTATCTGCACAAAAAGAGCCTCCTTGTTTTATTCTCTGGCTGCCTGTGCTCAGTTGTATGAGGGACTATACTATTTGTAGCCCGTCACTGCTTGGCCTGAACTGCGGGGGTAGTTTGTCATCGTCCACTGCTACAGACGTGCTGCACTGAGTGACCTGGTCCACGAATCATTCGACATCTTTGGGAGTGCCTGGTGGATCAGTTCCAAAGGCTGGGATTGCTGGGTCAGAGGGTCTGCACACGCGTCCTTGTAGTTGCTCTTGCCAAGTTACCTGCCAAAGAGCCGGCATCAGTGACCTCTCCAGCTTCAGAATTTTGACAATGATGACCCTGTGGCTGGGAATTCTGAATGAGGGGCAGGAGGCAGTGTCCCTGGCGTGGCCCTGGCCTCCCAGGGAGAGGGTGCCTGGGGCACTGGGTTGGACCGAAGTCTCCTGGTTTCCCTGGGCTGTTTGGGGACCCTTCTCTGTCCAGGCCCTGGTCTCCTGGCCTACGTGAGCATTTTTGTGTGTCCACCCCCTGCAGGTTCTCCACCAAGTCCTGGCTGTCGCAGGTCTGCCACGTGTGCCAGAAGAACATGATGTTTGGAGTGAAGTGCAAGCACTGCAGGTGAGGGGCGGGAGGGGCGTGCAAGGGCGGCGAGCTGCAGACTTGTGGGTAGTCACTGTTCTGCCGCTCGATTGTTGGCCTGAGGGCAAGTCGGAGTTCACAGGGTTCTCCTAAACCCACGGTTCATGATCCCTTTCAGCACACCAGGGAGCAGTCAGCTCTCTCCAATGCGATTAAGGAAGTATCAGGCAAGGCACTCCCAGAAGAAGGGACTGTTTGAGGTGGGCTTTGAAGGATGAACAGAAGTTTGCCAGGTGGACCAAGGAAGAAAGTGAATCCCAGGCCAAGGGAGCGTCTTATACAAAGGCAGAGGGGAATGGGAGGACTACTCAGGACTCTGTAAGGAGTTCTGTAATTAGCCTTACATTTTAGCACACAAGGGGTAGCAAACAGGGATAGGCCATGGCAAAACAGAGAGACAGCTCGTGGTACCCACAGAAGGAAAAAGTGCAGGGTCTGTATGAACCCAACTTTCCTTCTGCACGCCATGTGGTTCCTGGAGGGAGAGAAGGACAGGGATAGGGAACAGTGCGGTGTGAGCAGATCTGGCCCCTGCTTTCTAGCTGCCCTCAGCTTACAGAGGGTGGACCTGGGCTCTGCTCCCACCCACTTGGCCCCCGCATTTCTGTGCATCTTGGGGTCAGGCGCTTGCCCTTTCTGGGCCACTTTTTTGTCATTTATACACCTCGGAGGATGATTCCAGGTTTACATCCATGAGAATTGCTCCAAGAACCTGAGCTAGTGTGTATAAAGCATCTGGGCCCCCACAAGGCTGCAGGTGATGGGTCTCATCCGTGTTGGGTAGATACATTGTTTTCCTGACGATTCTCCTGATCACTGAGGAGATGCCAGAGCTTTCTCTCCAGTCTCAGCCTGTTGTGGCTTCTGGCTATTTAGCTTTAAACTGGGACCTCCAGGTCCCTTCTAAGTAACGCCTTTCATGTGGGGAGGGCAACTCCCGAGCTGCTCCTGAGCTGAGTTGCAGCGCGAGGTTGGTAGGGCCCCAACCATGGGCTCATTTAATCGCTGAGAACCCCGACACACAGGGCAGCCGACAGGCCCCAAATGAGAACCCAGCCCTCTCCACTGCTGGCCCAGCCCCGCTGAGCCCTGACCACAGGGCCCAGCAGAGTGTAGTGGGAGGGGCCGCCCTGCATCCCTGGGGGTGGCCTTGGCGGTGCAGGCATTCTCCATCTAATTCGCCCAACTCTGTAAGTTCAGGTTCCTCCGGAGCTTTCTGAAGGAGGGTGGAGGGTGGTCTTTCCTCTAGAAAAGAGAAACAGTTGTGTGAGCCACACGTGACAAGTTAAAACGTGCGTGATCAAGCCTGCTTTGCTCTGAGGACTGGACAGACAACAGCCGAAGGTGTAATGCTCAACAGATAGTAGCTGCCAGCACCGTTGATACCAGTTCTACATTTCTGAGCTAATGTGTGTTGAGAAACTGGTGGCAGTTGAGGCCGTCAAGGGGGCGTCACCCGGGGCTGCCAGGCAGCGCATCCGAGCCCCATCCCCGTGCCAAGAACCGGGCGCCCCCCCCCGCCCCCATGCTCTGACCCCCTGCCTTCCTCACCAGGTTGAAGTGTCACAACAAGTGTACAAAAGAAGCCCCCGCCTGCAGAATATCCTTCCTTCCAAGTGAGTGCTGTGCCCTTTCTCCTCTGCCTTCTGGATTTGGGGTGAGTCTTGCCTTAGCTCAGTCTCGTCCCCGCTCATGGTTACCCCCTCTTCAGTAGCTAGGATTCGGAGGACAGAATCTGTCCCTTCGGACATCAACAACCCGGTGGACAGAGCAGCTGAGCCCCATTTTGGAACCCTCCCCAAAGCGCTGACAAAGAAGGTACGTTGGACGAGGGCCTGGGGGTCTGTTGCTTCTGCCAGGAGATTCCTCTCTGTAAAGCCCCCCAATGTGGAGGTCGAGCATGACAGCACAGTCCAGTCTGTGGCCAGAGGGTGGCCTTCGGGGCGCCTATCTTTAGCCGTTTGGCAGCCTTCACACGTAGAGTTCTGTGCCCGTAACGCCACCCCTCTTCCTTTTTCAGCTAACATTTCACTGGCTGTGAGTCAGGAACATTTTCCAGGGGTGTTTCCTTTGACCCTCAGAGCAACCCTAAAAGGCACCTACTGACATTTTGCCCATTTTACAGACGAGGAAACTGAGCACTGGGTCCCCTGTGAGTGAGAGACAGGCCCAGCCCCGGGGCCTTACCTCAGTCACAGTGCAGCTCACGGGCTTCGAGAGTAACACGCACAAGTGCACTTCACGTAGCCTGGGTTGGGTGTCCCCACGAGTGCGAGCAGATGTCCCTGCAGCCAGACAGATTCTCAAAGGCCTAAGTCCCCCACAGAGGGTCTGCAGACCTGTCATGGACCCCTGTAGACAGCTGTGCGTGATTTCTATGAGGCACCCGTGCTGGTGGCCTTTGACAGCCACCCACCGCTGTCCTGGTGACCCCCGAGTTGATGGCCTCCCCCAGGCTGCTGTGGGTCTGGCTGAGTGTTCCAAGGATGTTAGGTCCTAGCCCCAGACCCGGGCTTAGCTTCCCGACTGAGGGGCCTGGCGACCGGCTGCTGCTCGGCTGGGCCAGCCTGGGGGAGGCTTGGGCAGAGGGAGGAGAGGACCCTGAAGATGCGGCGTGGGGGCTGCTCCGAGACAGTCTCGGGTCACCTGTCACTATCAAACAAGGGCGACCAGCCGCTCCGGACCCGCTGCCCACTCCTGACGCGCTTGGGTCTCCTCCCTGCCGCTCGACCAGCACCGCACTTCCCTGTGATGGCAGCGTCCCCACCAGCAGTAGTGAGGGGTGGAAAGGTGACAGGGTCCACCGTCCTGGCTGCAGATCCCGACTGTTCCCCTTTGTTCTGTGACTTTGAGCGGATTCCTTTCCTCTCTGAGCCTCAGTTCTCCTATTTTGTAAAGTGGGAGTAATCTTCACCCACAGGGTGTTGTAAGAGGAACGGGGTAACACTCGGGAGCTTGTCGGAGCCGCACCGCCCATCCCCCGTGTGTGTCTTCCTGCCTGTCACATATGGACGCAGCTCCTCGGTGGGGCGCCAGGCCCCCTGATCTGCCACTCCCCATGTTGCCAACCCTGTTTCTGCACCTGCCCTCCCCTCTCCAGCCACACCAAGTGCGCCCCCATCTCGCACACCCCTCATCAACTCATGTCCACTCACACCCTGGCACGTGCACATCTGCATTTCTGCCCACCTGGACACCCAAACCCGGCCCACACCTGCTCGGCCCTCAACCAGCATAGAACTGGGTCTCGTCACGTTGAGAGCAGCGACGGGGTGTCGGCCTCCCCGCACCCCCTACTTATGGTCATTACCCAAACGCGAGCTCACAGTTGCTGGGTTCTCCCTGGGTGCCCGGCGTCGTGCTCAGGGCCACGTCTTTACCCCATTCGTCTCATGAGTGCCGGCCTGTCTCTCTGACCGCTTGTCCGGCCGCCCTCCCGCCACGGGCTCTGCACGTTCCTGCCTCGTGGCTTGTGTGCTGCCGGGGTCTCTGGCCAGAACGCTCTCCCCAGCATCGACACCGCTCACGTCCTCAGGGCAGCCTTGCCTCCCGACAATGTGGCCTCAGGCACAGAGCCCCACCTGTGCCTCTGCTTTCCCGCGTTCCTCGTGGCCTGATGTGGCGTGTGGTGCAACCACCTGTCTGCTGTCTGTCCCCCTGATGCGGGTGCTCTGCGGTCAGGGCCACGCTGCCTGATTCCTGCTGGGTCCCTGATGTCTTCATTGTTGCCTGTCACACAATAAGCAGTAAGGTTTGAATGTCTGTCTCAAATGTTGAGCAAATAAGCACCAGCTGACATCCCCACCCTGGGCTTGAGGCCCGCTGTGTAGCTTTGGTGGGTTTCAGAGCCCACTGTGCACCCCAGAGCTTTTAGGGCCTGCAGAAGAGAAACCCATTCAATTGAGCATTTAACTCAACTTGGCCCCAACTCTTTTGACCGAGGAATCCCTCCCGCCGCCCGCTGACGCGTGGGTCTGGGGAGCAGTGCGCCACCTAACGTGGAATCAGCCCCACCTCTCGCGGGTGGTCCTTTGGCCTTGCCAGGGCCCGAACCACCAGGTGTTAGGCACCTGCTATGTACCATACACTCAACAAATACTTGTCAGAGGCTGAATTTACTTCATTAAAAAAAACCCAACTACATGCCAGCTCGAGCCAGGTGCTGGGTGTCCGATGCGCAGGCATGGTCCCTGCCCTCCCAGGGCAAAACCGCCCCAGACCCCTGCAGCTGACAGACCACAGTGTGTCCTGATGGGAAGTGCTGGGAGCGGCGGGAGGATGAGGAGGAGGGGCACGGTCCCAGCCAGGCTCAGGAAGGGCTTCTGAGAGGAAAGTATGTTCGAGCTGAAACAAGATGAGCAGGAGTCCTCCGGGGGTGGACCCTGAGGTGAGGGTCTCCTTCTGCCCTTCCACCCTCAAATGTTAGGCCAGTAAACTGTGGGGATGCCCTGGGCCGACCGCTTCATTCTCACGCGGGGAGGGAGGATCCCGGCGAGGGGTGTGGGAGGCAGGCCGGGCGGCACAGTGACAGTCCCCACGTCTCTGGTCCTGCAGGAGCACCCTCCGGCCATGAACCACCTGGACTCCAGCAGCAACCCGTCCTCCACCACGTCCTCCACGCCCTCCTCGCCGGCTCCCTTCCCAACCTCGTCCAACCCGTCCAGTGCCACCACGCCCCCCAACCCTTCGCCAGGCCAGCGGGACAGCAGGTTCAACTTCCCAGGTACCACCCCTCTGGGCTTTTGGGGGCTCTTAGGCATGGGGTCGCATGTCCCTTCTCAGCACATCCCGGGAGGCTGAAGGTTAAACATTGCAGCCAATAAACAGGATAACTTGTGGGGAGCCAGGCACTGTGCCAAGTGCGAGCACATTACCACATTTAACTTGATAACAGCTCTGAGGTAGGTGCTGCTGTTGTACCCATTTTACAGATGGGGACCCTGAGGTTCGGAGAAAGGAAGTGGCTTGCCTTGAGCAGTATAGCACATAAGCGGTAGAGCCAGGTCCAAAGCCAAGGCTGTGTGACATGAAGCCTGTGTTCCTGGCATAATCCCCGTGCTGCACCCCCGCGCGTGCCTGGCTTCTGCTGGGCATTTTCCACTCTTGGGGCTCATGAGCTCCCAGGAGCCAGGCAGGCCCAGAAGGCCTAGGAGAGAGGATCCTGGCCTGTCTCTTACCTGCTCTGAGATGTGGACTAGCTACTGAAAAGGAAATGTTTGTTCTTTTCCATAAAACAAGAGACTCTGTGAAGTTGGCATTAGCTTATGCCTCTGCGTAGACAAGGACACCGAGCCCCAGAGGGGCGTGCGCGCTGGAGCAGGCCTGAGCAGTGCTGACCTCTGCCCAGGCTACCCTGGGGTGTCCCGCCTCCACAGGGAGGAGAAAAGCCCACTCGTCCTTTGAGGACTGAGCCCCAGCCTTGGCCTCCACGGCAGCTCCTGGCAGTGGGCCTTGGCCTTCAGCGTATTTCAGTTGTCAGCCTGGAGGAAGGAGGAGCAGCTGGGATGCTCCAGTGTGCTCCTGGCCCAGACACAGGCCCGCGGCCAGCTTCAGCCATGGAGTCCAGGTCGGGCCCACCTGTCCCTGGCCCTCGAGGCTCCAGGCCCGGGAGGATAAAAGCACAGCTCTTCCTGTGCCCAGGGACCCCCAGCTGGGGCCGCCCACAGCCAGCAGGAGGCCTGGCAGCTTCTCGGAGCCCATCGCAGCAGGGTGCTAGGGACTTCTTTTGAGGATGATGAGAAACTGAGATTTTTGTAGGAAACTTTTTCTCTTTTGCTCTCCCTTCACTTTAATACCCGCATGGCTGGATATCTCCTGACACCAATGCTTCGTCCAGATCATAGCCTCCCCTCCGTACCACTGAGCGATGGCCTATTTGATTAACCTTCTCTCCCTTTCTGCTTTCTCATTAATATGCTCTGAAACTGGCCTTTTGCTAAACCTCCTACTTTGAGTTTTTCTAAAAGGAAGGGCCTGTTTACAAAACAATAGCCACTGAGAAAATCTTTTTTGTGATGTCAGCCAGAGCTGCTCAGGTTTCCCTGCTGTCCCTGGGCTGGGCCCGCACTGTGCCCTGCAGGGAGCCCTCGCTCTCTGAGGACCTGTTATCTCTCTGGTCGAGGCAGTCAGTGCAGGACTGGGCTGCCCAGGGGCTTAACCTGGGAAAGGATCCCCTGCCGCCACCCCCCGCCCCCTGCCACTCTGCTGCGCAGGACCCTGTCAGCTCTTCAAGGACAAACCTGGGGATGGGGTATTTCTACCCTGTTTTATACTGTACCTGAAGAGGTTAACTAGCTTCTCCAGGTCCCAGAGCCTCGTGAGTGGCAGAACCGGGGTTAGAATCACAATGTGTCAAGAGTCCAGATCCCCAGTGAATTACTCTCAGTTATCTTTAAGAGAGGATTTTTTTTGTCCTGGATGGTGAGAGATCGAGTTGCTGAAGCACCACAGCACCATCGTTAAATGTTGTCAGAATCACTGTTTTTCTGCCCATTGTATTTTAACCTCCTGGGTGCGTGCACGTTTCACAGAGAAGCAGGCCCGAGAAGGGGACAGAATTGGCCAGAGCTCTGCAGCAGGGTGGCCATGGAGACTGGCCTCGGAACCCCAGTCCTCCAGGGCAAGCCCCACCTCTCCTGGGGGCTCTTGCCAGCACCTGTTTTCTCCCAGCCTTTCATCCTCAGTCCTGCATGGATCACTGTGTGCTGGCCAGGCCCACCTGGGGCATACTCACCCCCCACCCCCACCCCACCCCACCTGCCCTATAACCAGCCCCTCTCTCCTTAACCCACACCGGAGTCCCCTTCCCCCTCGCTTCACTTGCTGTTCTCTGTGTGACTCACCTCCTCTTCTGTTTAAAGCTGCCTACTTCATTCATCATAGACAGCAGTTTATCTTTCCAGGTGAGTCCTTTGCATGGTTCCACTAACTGCTCTTTGCGGTAACCCCTCTGTCCAGCCCGCCTGGGCGCCCTCGCTCTGGGCACCTTGAAGATGCTTGAGTCTCACATCTGCCTGGTTTGAGCCTCCTGTCTGTTGAGGCTGGAAAGGGGCGCAGTGTGAGTCATAGCCTTCACAGGGGCAGTGCCTTTCTGGGAGGGACCTTGACGTCCATCCTGCCTGGCCTCTTGCACAGAGATTACACGCAACTTGTCCAGGGTCACACAGCCAGAAGGTGGCAGAAACTCAGCTTGCATAATGGAGGAGAGGACTTTCTACTGGTGCCTTGATAGCAGCTGTCATGATACTTCCTTCTGCACAATAACAAGGAAACTAGCTGCTACTCTTATAAAGGGAAGACCACTTTGGGAAGTTCTGCAGGCTTCACTCACTCAGGTGGCATCCCCTTTCAGAGTCTTATTGCATAGCACCATCTGCTGGCCATTTATTGGAAATGCATCTTTAGTTCAAAAAGTTTAAAGGAAAAACTTAATTCAGTAAGACAATTTCACTGATTCCTTTCTACAAAAATTGTTTTGTTTACCTACTAGAGCCAATATTTGCACTTGACTGTATTCCTGCCCCTAAGGCATTTATACAATTAGGCCTTATCTCTGGCATTATTATAAGTAATTTGCAACTTCAGTTGTTATTTTAGCCATATGAAGGTTTTTTGTGTTTTAGACAAAGACTGTAGCTAATTGCTTTTTTCCCAGGTTAAACAGGTCTGTCCTGAAGTCATGGTATTGTGGTTATTACAGGCTTTTCTACGCCCTAACTCAGTTCTATTAGGAGGATGACGTGGAGCACTTGTTAGTTCTTACAGGATCATCAATGAGGTATTGCAGGCATGCGCAGGCGGGCTGGGCTCGGGGCCCGCTCCCTGAGCGGCCTCTGTGGTTTCATGCCAACTTCTGCTGTTGATTTGCTGCAGGAGCCTCCCTGGTTATTAGCTCTAGGATGGTGTGCAGGGGAGTACATGAAAGCATTGGGAAAACATGCCTCTTCTTCCAGAAGGGTCTATTTTGCTCTGAAGATACGTTGTGGGGAGAGGAAGAAAATATATTTCTATTAGAGCAAACATGGACCCATTTTGGAGCAGAATGCAAAGTGTACTCTTAGTGTTTAAGGAGAAATAAGAGGCATCAGTTTTGCCCTCCCACCTGGAGTGCTCTTTCTCCCAACATCCACACCCACACCGCCACGCGTGTTTTCCTTCTGTGGAATCATTTGAGCAATGTCGATGGGTAGAAACGTCAGGCCGCCCTGATAGTCTACGGACGCAATATAGTGGTGTCGGGAGGAGGCCCCCGCGGAGGCTTCCAGGGTCCCGGATCCCCAGGAAGCCATGCATAGGGCTATGGGTGGCCGTGTCCATTCCCTCAATAAGAAGGCGCACAGCCTAAGTCTGTGAGGTCCCAGAGACATCGAGGACCTGTGGTTCAGCTGGCCTTCAGGGGTAGCCTGGGAGGAGAGCCCAAGAGGGAGGTCCAGGGAGGTGTGGTGGCTGACGGGCAGGCTTTTTGTCCAGTGGCAGGGAGAGGCCACTGATTAGCCTGGGCCACTGCTAACTCCAGTGTGTTTCCTTGTGCTGATAAAAGAGAAGAGCCCTGGCTGGCGTGGCTCTGTTGACTGGAGTGCTGCCCTGTAAGCGAAGGGTTGTGTGTTTGATAAAAGAGAAGGGAGCAAGGGGCCCACCCAGCCCTGGGGCAGCCAGCTTCCTTGAGTGCTATTTGAAGGGGTGGAGAGAACAGAAAGAGGCTGGCAGCAGAAGCAGCTATGGAGGATTTGGCTTTGTAACATGCTGGTTTCACCTTGGGCTGACCATCTGTCTGGTGTTCCCAGTATAACTCTCAGCGCTCAACCTGGGAAAGCCCCAGGCTCAGGGGTCAGCCCCAGCTGACGTGTGCACTGTGCATTTCTTCCTGTCCCCTGAGAGCTGACTGCCAGCGGACCACACCTGAAAGCTGAGGGGGGCGCGGGCTCCAGCTCCCACCAGAAATTCCCAGCAACGATCACAGGCACCAGGTGTCACTAACGAGCCACCTGCGCGTCCTGCCTTCCACCCCTGCTGGCCTCAGTGAAGGAGTTCTTGCCACCAGCCCAGGCCTCCAAGCAGAGCAAGAGGGTCTGGCCCATATATCTGGTGAACTGTAGCCCTGTTTGCTTTTGGCACTTGCTTGTATAAGGCAGTTGAGCACAGGGGAGAAGTCTCAACCTCCTTGCACACCCGGGGTCCCCTCCTGGGACAACGCAGGTGCTGTAGAGGCTGCATTCATGTTTGGTCTTAGGACAAGCACGAGTTGGCCCTCATGGAAAGGGCCTGGGGAACACGCGTGCTGCCCCATGCGGGGCTGCCAGGGGAGAACCCCCTTCCCTGCACGTCAGGACTGTGTCTTTCAGGGGGAGTAGAAAGATGATCTCATGCTTCTCATTTGCTCTCTGTTTCCTCCAGACATTTCAGCATTTCCGCCGGCAGCCCCGTTCCCCGATGCAGCAGACAGCACTCGGTAGGCGTTCCTATGCTGTGTCCCCTTTCTCTTCCATGGGGACTTGTGACAGCTGGATCCACATCCCTAACCACCCACTCCCACCCCCCAGTCCCTGGCCTCCCGCTCTGCACATCGCTGGGTGCTGGGCCAGCCAGGTGGCAAACTCCTTGGGTTTATTCACCCTTTCCGCTGTGAGCTTGGCCACACAGATTTCATTAGCCTCTTTTCAATACAGTCAGCATTGAATGGGGATGTAAACCTGACCCGGGAGGAGGGCGCAAAGGGCACGCAGAGGTATAGAAACCTACTCAAAACAGCTCCAGCTTATGGAGCCCGTTCTCAGTGTGAGGCCTGCTGGACACCTGACTTGTGTTCCCAAGCAAGTATTGAAGTAGTTGTGATCCTCAATGTGCAGATGGGAAAGCCAGCTCAGGGAGGTTAAGAAATTGCATAAAGTCACACAGCTAGGATGTGACAGAAACAATTCTCAAGTAGAATTTTAAGGGCTGTGCTTGGGCTCAGAACCTGTGTACTGGCTGTCAGATTTGAAGGGGCCCTGGCGGTTACTGCCCACCCCTCATCCCCACCCCCTAAGGTTAGTCTGGGGAAGGCCGAGGCTGTAGAAGGGGACTGGGGCCTGGGCCTGGGCCTCCTGGCTGTTTCCACAGCATCCAGACTGCCTTTCCCGCAGCCAGGAGGGTCAAGGTGAGGATCCAGGCCCAGGGGCCTCTGCTCAGACCTCACATGGGGAGTCCCCTGCCCAGCTGAGAGCGGAGAGCCCCTCCCTCAGGGTCTCCTTGACAAGCGCTGTTTCACTCTTAGGCTCAACGACCAGCCAAAAGCAGACGTGTTGGAGGATCGTGAAGTAGAGGTGAGCCAAGGCAGTGCCCTCTCCTCTCCCACTCCCCCCCTCCCCCCCGCCCCTCCCCGCCCCACCCCGCATGTGGAAGAGGCTAGGCAGTGCATGGCGCCAGGCCCTGGCAAGGGCCGTCGCAGGTGCCTGCTGCAGCAGACATGGGCAGATGTGCACGGAGGGAAGAATGATGAGGAATGCAACTAAGCGAGCTTCCTTTCACGTTTCTGTTTTGGGGGCTGAAGTACGCTCTTAATTCCCATGGTTCCCACCACTAGCCGGGCAGCCTGGGCCCCAGCCTTGGAGACTGCGTCACTCTGCCTGGGGCGAGGCCAAGCGTCCAATGTCACGGCTTCCAGGTGCTTCTGACTGCAGCCAGGGCCAAGACCACTGCCTTGACCCTTGAGCCTGGCTCCCGGTAGCACTAGCAGAATGTTAACAGAAACTCTGTTTAACAAAAGAATGCCCAGAAAGAATGAACGCAGTTAAATTCTTCATGCCAGTGGATGTTAACGCTCTTCCCTAGTCGCTGGGAGGCAGATCTTGGAGTGTCAGTTGGGGAGAGGGCCTCAGGGCCCACCTGGGCCAAGGGCCATATTTTGTGGGTGAGGACACTGAGGCTCCACGGTGCTACGTGACCTGCCTATAGTCCACAGCAAGCCAGTGCGGAGCTGGGACTAGAACCCGGGCCTCCTGACTGCACACCTGTCCTCCTCCCTTAAATGGCTGGGGCTCCGGGGGAAGGGAGTGAGCAGAGCCCAGATCTGCTGCCCATCTCTACTCCTTCTCTTTGTAGGCAGAGGAGCCGGAGGCTGGAAAGTCAGAGGCAGAAGACGACGAGGATGAGGTGGACGACCTGCCGAGCCCCCGCCGGCACTGGCGGGGCCCCATCTCGCGCAAGGCCAGCCAGACCAGCGTGTACCTGCAGGAGTGGGACATCCCCTTTGAGCAGGTGGAGCTGGGCGAGCCCATTGGGCAGGGCCGCTGGGGCCGCGTGCACCGCGGCCGCTGGCATGGCGAGGTGGCCATCCGCCTGCTGGAGATGGACGGCCACAACCAGGACCACCTGAAGCTGTTCAAGAAAGAGGTGATGAACTACCGGCAGACACGGCACGAGAACGTGGTGCTCTTCATGGGGGCCTGCATGAACCCGCCCCACCTGGCCATCATCACCAGGTAACTCGCGGCCTGGCCCTCGCTGGGGTGGCGCCCCAGCCTCCCCTGCCCTGGGGCCCTCTTGTTTACGTGGACGCGCTAGAGGGGATGGGAGTGTTTTGTTTTTCAATTTAGTTTTCAGTTGTGGTTGTCATCCAATATTATATTAGCTTATATACCTTAAAGTGATCATGTTAAGTCCATCTGGCCCCAGACACAGTGATGAGGATATTACTGACTATATTTCCTATGCTGTCTGTACATTACAGTCCCATGACTGTTGTTATAACTGGCAAAAAAATTTACCTTTTTGGCAGGGCGTGGAAGTTTTAGTGTAGACAGGTACAAAAAATGGAGTGTAACTTCCCCATCATAAAACAGCATTGACATTAAAAATTAAATAAAAGATGCCGAAGGAGAGAGAAAGTGCAAATACTCCAGAAAGGTACGAAGTAAAAACCAGTCTGCTCCCACCCCAGCGGGGTGCTTTTCCCCACATGTGGACACTGGAGATGGTTCCTTATCGTGCCTTCCATTAAAATAAAGAATTTGCATATACTCATGTTTTTAAACTATTTATCTATTCCTTTGTCAAAATACACAGCAGAGACCATACTGACTCACACCTTGCTTCCTTCACTTGCGTGCAGGTCTGAGGTGTACTGCAGTCTTTTAACACCTGCGCTGTACTCTCACCGTATGGTTGAACCCCGCGCTGGTGTGCTCGTGTGTTTAGTAACCACCTCCCGGGTGTTGGGGAGGGAAGTCCTGCTTTGTGGCATCTGTTGATTCTTGTGGTATAAATATTCTCACCACAGCTGATTCCAGGCTGCTGACATGGCGTCGCTGAGAGTGGAGTGGGATTGGAAGAGAGTCACGCAACCGGGCTCTGTGTTCTCTCTTGAGCTGATCACTGGCTGTCCCATAATCTAACCAGTCCTCTGTTATCACTATGACAAAGTGTCCATATCTTGGTGACCTTCTGTGAGGACATGTGCTGGGCCAGGTCAGAGGATGTACTGCCCATTTCTGGTCCAGAAAGTGTTCGCCAGTTTCCTCTCCCACCTTCACCATATGTGTGTCCCTTCCCCCGCCTCGGCCCCCCAACCCCCAGCATCAGGGGGTGTGAAACGGAAACATTTTGCCCATGGCTTTGAAAACGTTGTTGTTGGGTATTTACTTCTAAAATCAGGAAAAAGCACCCTGACCAGTGTGGCGCAGTTGGTTGGTCCCACCAAGCGAAAGGTCGCCAGTTCAGTTCACGGTTGGGGCACATGCCTGGGTTGCGGGTTTGACCAGGGCACACACGGGAGGCAACCAACCGACTGATCGTCCTCTCCCTCTTTCTCTCTCCCTCCCTTCGCCTCCCTCTAAGAATAAATAAATAAAATCTTTTTAAAAATATAGTCAGGAAACAGCAATATGAGGTTCGTCAAGAAATTTCGGAACATGCATGGAGGTTTCAAGAAGAAACTAAAAATTGCTTTAATCCCATGAGCCAAGAGAACCCCCATTAATATCCGGGTGACATTCCCTATAGCTGGACCCGATGCTTTAAAATACTGTTTCCTAAGTAAAAGTAAATTTCCATTTTGCTTGTTTATCAGCCACAGATATAAGTAACCACCCACCAGAATTCCTGAGCACTGTGGGCCCACCAGGCCACCACACCAAGGGATGAAATCCGAGCCCACGACATGACAGGGGCAGTGTTTAGGGAGCCCACGGGGGCTGCGCCAGCTCCGCAGCCCCCGCATCGCAGCCCCCAGCGCTGTCCGTCTGCCCGTCCACCCTGCCGTCCATCGTTCCGCATCTCACCTACCCAGTTCCATAGAATATCCGAGCCCGCGTAAAGGGAATACATATAGTAACATAACGAAGCATTCATTAACAAAAACTTAGCATGTTTTAGAATATTCTGAAGGTACTGGAACACAGATAAGGAACTATGGGCCACTATTCTGGACCCCTCATCCAGTTCTCAGTTTCTGAGGCTCCCAGAATCTTACCTCCTTGGAGACTTTTTCTAAAATCTAGCCCCTTCCTCTGGCGGCTTAAGTCACTTTCTCCCTGAAACAGGAGAATGAGCCGCACGTTCTCTCTGTTCCTTCCTCCTCAGGCTTTAGGGGTCAGTGTAGATGGAGACCCCCAAAGGCAGGCCCTTATCCTGTAATCACTCTGACGCCCCCGACAGGCCCTCCCACCCCTTTCCCCTGCTTGCACACTCCTTTATTATAATAAAACCTCTGTGATCAGAAAACACTAGAAACGATCATGAGCATCTTTAGAGTGAGCCCAGCGCCCCACTGTGGCCCTGCGATTGCCCTAAAAGGCCAGATTCCACCCATCGGAGTTTGAGTTCCACCTGCCTTGAACCTCCGCGGGCGGGCTGCTGCGGACCACCAGGAGCCGGGGCGAGCTGGGTTCCCTGTTCCAGGGTGGGCAGGCCCTGGGCCTCAGGAGTGGGCTGCCTGCGGTACATTTTTGTACACCCAGGCCAGGCCCCAGGAGGAAGAGGCGGCAGGCTTGGGTAAGAACAGAGATTCTGGTGCCGTGGTCCAGAGGTTGGAGAGAGCCCTCCAGAGGCCAGCGGGCCCAGCTCTCCCCACGGCTCCGGCCGGGCTCCACAAGGGCTGGGGCCAGGGCCGCGCCAGCCCCGGACCGCTGCCTGACCCACCGCTCTCCACACAGCTTCTGCAAGGGGCGGACGTTACACTCGTTTGTGCGGGACCCCAAGACCTCTCTGGACATCAACAAGACCAGGCAGATCGCTCAGGAGATCATCAAGGTAAAGGGGCGTCTGCCTGCTCTGCCTGCCCGTGTCAGGGTGATGGTCACAGCCTCGTCTCCCCCGGAGCCGGGGCACCTCAGGGGTGGGACCCCATCTCCTTCTCTCCGTCTGCGTCTTGTCCGGTCGGAGCCGTGAGCTGGAAACCAGGTTGGCAGTGGTGGACATAGATTGGGAGAGGAGGGGCGCAGCAGGCTTCGAAGGCAGATGGGCCGAGCCTGAGTCCTGGCCACACCAGCTGTGTGAGTCTGCGGAGGTCGTTTAGCCTCCCTGAGCCTTGGCTGCCTCCTCTGTGAAACGGGGATTCCAACACAACCGCCCTCAGTGGGTTGGCGCATGGGTTGGCGCAGAGAGCGCGTGGGGACACCGGGCCAGCCCTTGGGGAGCCTCTGTTAGCATTGCTGTGGGGGGTGGGCGCCCACCCTTTCTGCCTTAAAGTTCCCAAACCCAGGTTTCAAGAAGACAGGCCCTCTGGTTCAAGTCAGGCAGGCTTTTTTCTTTCTTTCATCCTTTTAAAGTAGTGAAATAAAAATGAGAAAAACGGCTCTGGCCAGGTAGCTCAGTTAGTTAGAGCATTATCCCAGTACACCAAGGTTGCGCGTTTGATCCCGCAGCCTTGCCTAAGGAGAGAGAAAATTCAAATGCGCCGGGACACACACGAGAATCAACCCAGGAATGCATGAAGAAGGGGAACAACAGATCAGTGTTTCTCTCTCTATCTCCCATTTCTCTCTCTCTCTCCAATTAATTTTAAAAAAGAAGAGAAAATTTTTAAAATGAAAAAAAAACCTTATTTGTAGCTTATTTAGTAACAGGCCCAGACAGGAACTAGAATACTGCTGGTTTTCTCTTGTTTTCTGTTGAAAAGCTTTCTCGGCAGGTCCTGCGGCATTGGGGCCCCTTTCCTGTCTTTCCTTACTCTTCTGCCTTCACTCTGCCGCCTTTCCTTTCTTCTCCCTCTCTTCCTCCTCTGTCCATTTGTGTGTATGTCTTTTAAAAGGAAAGAATAAAAATCGCAGTTACTTTTATGAGCAAACCAAGATTTCCACATAACATTTCTGTGCGGCGGAGCTAATGAATTAAACCTTTGAAGCCCCCAAAATCCAAACATCACCTGTACGCCTTCACTGAGTCTCTCACCTCAGAGACGTTGGACAGAGCTGCAGAGTGTTGCACCTACTTTTTATTGTCCCAAACTCGCTAGACCCTGCTCCTCTCCCCCGCACCCCCAAATAGTCACTTCTCCACAGTATCAGAACAAGAGTCCAGGGCAGACGAGAAAATCTACTCAAAGGGCCCTGGCCAGTGGCTCTGCTGGTTGGAGCGTTGTCCCGTACACCAAAAGGTTGTGGGTTCGATCCCAGTTGGGGCGCATATGGGAGGCAACTGATTGATGGTTTTCTCTCACATCAATGTTTCCCTTCCTCTAAAAAAAAAAACAAACAAAAACAAACAACAAAACAGAAAACTACATCCTTGGGTAAGGATTTTTAAAAAAGTTACTCAAAGGTTTTTTAATTACAGAGCCAGAAGCTGCTTCTGCTGGCTTGTTTGGTTCTTCTCTCTGCTGAAAAACTGTCTCCCTGCCCTTTGGCCTTCTGCTGGGAAATTCTAAGCCACTTCCAAGCTACTTCCTTTTGTACTTGTCTCTGCTATCCTGAAACTAAATACAGCAACAAGAGCCTGACTTTGGTTAGAGGGTTTTCAGTTTGAGGGCCACTCTGGAAACACGGTGAAATCATGGGAAGGAGAGTTTGTGTCCCAGACCCAGGTGCTTTCTGTCTTGTCTCTTTAAGCTGGTCTTTTGAGATGGTGGCACCTGTTTTATAAACAAGGCTCAGAGAGGTATAACTACTTGTCCTCTGACACACAGCTCCCTGTTCAGTACAAGACTAGGTCTTTGGCTCTCAGGCCACCGAGAAAGGCATGTGCAATTGCTTTGGCTTGGGAAATGGGCAGATATTTTAAGAAGGATTGTCTTGTATTCAGGACAGAGTTTGGGGGAGGAGCAAGTCACTCTTTTCTGGAACGCCTTAGTTTTGTGGCAGGATGACAGCTCTCAGCAGGCCTGAGGGAAGTGGTCACAGCACACCCCACGCCATCCTGTCTCTCACAGAAGAGCATCTGCCTTGCGTAAACTCTCTGACCTTCTGCAGACCCACTCTGACCGAGCTCTGGCCTCGACTAAGTTCTCTCTGGTTCCACCTCACACTCATTCTTTCTGCTTCCTGAATGTGGCTTATTTACCTTTCTACCCCTGAGCTCAAATAACTCTAAAGCCAGAGAGATTTCTTATATGTGGGCCTCCCTAGAGTGGGAGACTGGGAGGTGGATTTACATGGGCCTCTTTCTGAGTGGGCTGGGACAGGCATTTCAGTCATGGCATCTTGCGCCTGCTCCCAAGGGCATCAGAGTACGCAGGAGCCCTGGGTTTGGCATTAGAAGACAGTGTGGACCTTGGATGACGTCATGCCTGTGTCGGGTCACCCACATTGCATACACCTGGCCAGTGAGGGTTCAGTCCAAATAGAGTATTGGTTAGAAATCACCCACCTCCGCCCTTTTGCTTGACAGACAAGGAGACTGAGGCCCAGAAAAGTTGAGTGTCCAAGGCCGCACAGCAAATTAGAATGTGAGCTGAGATGGAACCTGGACCCTGGATTTCCGCCCTCGGTCCAGGGCTCTGATGAGAGCACAGACATTGGGACCTCCCGAACTCGGGGACTCCCTCTGTGGGAGTTCCTCTTTGTTCCGCACCTGAGCCCTTGTCCAGCTGGAGGGGAGAGGCTGGCTGGGTAAAGCCTGAAGGACCCCACATCTCACGGGCCCTTCCTGACTTAATACAGATGGTCTGCTCACGCTTTACGTACTTCCTGACCGCCCCGCCTCCCGCGCATGCCCCTCTCCACATGTCACACATTATCTGAGTCTAAGTTGGAAGCTGGGCAGCACGAAGGCCTGAAAAGGGCAGGGACTGGCCTGAAACCAAATGTCAGCTGTGTGGCCTGGAGTAGGTGACCTCCTTTCTCTGAGCTCGGTTTCCTCATCCATAAAATGAGGACAATTACCCTGCGTAACACTGTGGAGATTAAACGAGGGGATTTGGGGAAGGCATCCAGCCCAGTGCATGGCCCAGGCGGAGGCTACGCCCTCATTACTCATCTTCCCTCCCCATGATGTGCGGCACGCTGTCTTCCAGGGCATGGGGTATCTGCACGCCAAGGGCATCGTGCACAAAGATCTCAAATCCAAGAATGTCTTCTATGACAATGGCAAGGTGGTCATCACGGACTTCGGGCTGTTCGGGATGTCGGGCGTGGTCCGAGAGGGACGGTGAGTAGGCCTTGGGCATCTGGGCAGGACAGGGCCGTGTGGGTGGTGCCGGCTGGGCCCGAGGGCAGCTGAGGTCCAGGCGCTCTCTATGTTGCTCAGGGGCAGCCCTAACCATAGGAAAGGTCATGTTTGCTTTGGTCCCGCCCTTGTGGTTCTGGTCCAGGATCAGACTCAGGTGACGCCTTGCTTCTCAGGCCAACCCCCATGGAGGCTGGGTCACCTCATGCACATTTACCGACTTGGGTGGAGGACCAGGGTTCAGGTTCCCAGTATGAGCAAGAACATCAGGTTTTATTTCCCCACATCTTCAGGGGTGGGAGCAGAGAGAAAGGATCCTCCTCAAGCATCTGGGGGACCCCCAGGAGGCAGAGTGGCATCTGTGAGAAGCACAGGCAGATCCGATTTCCTGCATAGAGAAGTGTTTCAGGCTCCCCAGCACCTTCAAGGGCAGCTCCCTGCCAGGCCCCTGTTGGCCTGCTTTCCTAGCAGTACCTGGTCGTCACGCTTCTGTAACAGTCCCCAAAAGTGCCAGTGTGATCCGGGCTGCCTCCGGGGGCTGCGTGTGGGTGGTACGCCGGCCCTGGGGCCCAAGCGCGCCAGGCTAGCCTCTTTGCTGCCACTGAAAGGCCTGTATCCTCGCCCTGCCCCTTGGCCTCTAGACGTGAGAACCAGCTGAAGCTGTCACACGACTGGCTGTGCTACTTGGCTCCTGAGATCGTGCGTGAGATGACCCCTGGGAAAGACGAGGACCAGCTGCCGTTCTCCAAAGCTGCAGACGTCTACGCATTTGGGTGAGGAAACCCTCTTCCTGGGGCTCGGAGGCTAAGTATGGCCAAAAGAGAGGTCCCTGCTGGCCCTTGGGGGCAGGGGAGGCAAGTTTGAGCCATGGCGCCGCTGCTTGTTGGGTGAGAGGCCACATTACTGACCCCCTTTCCCTGCCTATAGAATGGGGGAGTGGTGGCACCTCCCGATAGGGTTGCTTCATGGACACTAAGCTGGGCCATTTCTGGTCCCCTCCACTGCCCTGGGAGGACACTCACCAGAGCTAAGAACTGTCCCTCTGGGAGAAGTGGAACATCCTGCCAGCCAGCTTCTAGTGGTCCATGAAGCTGACCAAAAAAAAAAATAGAGAATACAGGGTAGGGCAAAAGTCGGTTTACAGTTGTGAGCGTGCGAAACACAGTTTATGCTTGTATTATTATTTATTAATTGTATTGTTTTCCATACAGACAACTGTAAACCTTCTTTTCCCCCATCCCCCACCCCGTATAATGTGAGCCAAATATATAATTTTCACTTAGACACGTTAAAAAAAGAAAAACACGTGAAATCAGTTTCAGAATTATATTTTATTTAACTCAACATATCCAAAATATTTCAACATGTAATCAAAATTAAAATTTAAGGGGATGTGTTGCCCTAGAAAGTGTTCCAACTCGGTGCTGTTTCACACCTAACCGCACACCTCGGTTCTGCTCTCCACAAGTCAGTTGCTCAGCAGCCCCTGCGTTGGACAGTGTGGGTCCAACAGAGAAAGTCCCCATCCAAATGAGTCGGGAGAAGCGAGGTGGCTCGGAAAGGCTGAGCGAGGCCTCGCCCTGTGATCCCTTGGGTGTCCTTCCCTCGGTGGCTGTCTCTTCCTCCCAGACCTACCCATTCCTGGAGCCCGGATGCAAGCCAGGCACTGAGCTTGGCATTTTTGTTGCTCCTCAGACAACCTTGGATGCAGGCACCAGGCCCACTGAGGTTAACAGTTAGAGCAAGACCTCTGTTCAGAGCCTGCGTTGCCTCCGACTTTTTAACACAACAGGAGTACAGGGCCACAGATCCTCTACTTCCTGGGAGGAGCCCCCGGGACCCCTCACGGCGCTCCCTGAAGCCCGGCGGGTGGAGAAGGCTGGGGAAGGATCCTGGCGGCTCTGGCTGGGCTCCTGGCATTGTGGCAGCAGGAGCCTCTGGGCATGAGCTGGCCTGAGCGGGCCAAGAGCTCATGCTGCATGGGTGGTCTCCACAGGACCGTTTGGTATGAGCTGCAAGCAAGAGACTGGCCCTTTAAGAACCAAGCTGCAGAGGCCTTGATCTGGCAAATTGGAAGCGGAGAGGGAATGAAGCGTGTCTTGGCCTCCGTCAGCCTGGGGAAAGAAGTCACCGTGAGTAGCTACCTGTTTGTTGTTGGAGAGGGAGAAGGGCTAGAGGGCAGGGCATGGGCACATGGCATGGCTACACTTCCTTTCCTCACCTGCGAAGGGGCCCTGGAGGCGCACGTGGGCCAGGCAGGCCTCCCTGCTGCCGGCAAACAGGACTGTGTCTTTATTACCCCACGGTTAACCTTTTTCTTCAACAACAAAACACAACAAAATTGTCTTTTAAAAAAAAAACTGGAAGGAAATAAAGATAATGATTTTAATTGAATTGGAAGTCGAAAAGATAGTAAAGCTCTGTATGTTACAAGGAAAGAAGATTTTTAAAAAATCACTGCACAAAATACAAATAATGAGGTTATGCTTCGGTATCCAATCTTCCTCCATAATGTTTTCCTCTGCTGTTCCAGAACTGATTGAAATTCCATAGTAAATTTGTTTTTAAAATGTCGAGTCGCAATCCAGTTACTGACCTCACATGGCTGCATACCTGTAATGGTTTCTCTGCGTTACAGGTTGTGAGTGTCTTTGCCCTGACACAGTGCTGACCCAGAGGTCACTTTGCCAGTGCAGCCAGGGATAACCACGGCTGAGACAGGACTGGAGCACAGAGGGGCCAGCCTGGACGCTATGAGTAACTGCAGTGGGTATCTGGGCGGCATAACAATGGCAGAGCCTGGAGGGAAACACCTGGGTTTTGTTCAGGTTGAGAGCTTCATGGTGAAGTCCTGAACGTGGGCAGGGTCACCACCCGCAAACTCTGGGACGGGCAGAGCAATTGATTCATTTTCCTCCCAGACCTTAATAGATCTTAACATCTTCCTTCTTTCGCTGGTAGCTAGCAGCTATGGCTCATTTATGACATTGTATTTGGTGTATTTTATTCAGCAGTAGTACATGTCATCTGGTTGAAGTACAAAATACTTGTACAGGTATGCTCCTCCTAGAATCCACCAAGTGCTGGTCTAGGCACCAGCGCCACGCTCGTCTGTGGCCAACCAGCACCACTTCAAATGGGGCCTGGGGCAAGGGGGCAGGCGATGAACGCCCCTTCAGTGCTCTTGGGTTCATACTTCTTGGCTTCGTGGCCAGAGCCACAGTCACCACGGCATGACCTTGGGCACCTTAGGATGGCAGTGATGGGCTCAAAGTGTGGGGTTTGGGCTCCTGCCACTTAGGCAGCTCAGAGAGCAGCTGAGGTAGCTACTTCCTTCCAGTCATTTTTAAAAGATTTTTAAGAATATATATCTTTAACAAAATCAAAATCATAACATATAGCTAACTTTTAAGAGTGCCTTTTTTTTCCAAGTGGCATTTTATTATACTCATCTCAAATCACTGGCAAGTCATTGTCCTAAAGCCAGTCCACCCTCTGTTTTATGGCTATACCATAATATAACAACTTCCCTGCAGTTGGACATATAGGTTATTTCCAATTTTTACCTTTTGCAATAAAGTTATGAAGGACATCTTTTTATAAACCAGAGTATGTGCCTACATTTATTTCATCAGGAAAAAAAAAAAAGATGGTGTGGCTCAGCAGATTGAGCACTGGCCTACGAACCAAAAGGTCACTGGTTCGATTCCCAGTCAGGGCACATGCCTGGGTTGCAACCAGGTCCCTGGTAGGGGGTGCTCAAGAGGCAACCACACATTGATGTTTTTCTCCCTCTCTCCCTCCCTTCTTCTAAAAATGAAATCTTGTTAAAAAAAGAAGAATTCCCCCCCCCTTTTTTAAAGTATTCTTAGCAAGTTCCCCTCCTGGCAACAACCTCAGTTATCTCTCTGAACACTTCGTGTTGGAGCAGAGAACATTGAATGCTGTCTTCAAGTAATGAGGGGACCTGGAGGTGGCTGCTTAAAGCAGAGCAGAGAGTCATCAGAGGGCTGCAAGGGAGTCGTCAGGGCTCAGTGCTGGCCACAAGTTCGAATCCTCTAGGAGCTTTTTACAGATAGCCAGGGCCTTCGCCACAAATAACTAATTTTATTGGCCTTGGTCATAGTTTTTCGTTTGGTTTGTTTTTCATTTTTAAATAAAGCTCCTTAAGTAACACTTCCACTCTTCTAACCTAATTGAAAGGATTTCTTATAATGTGGGGTTATAGGTCCTTTGAAGCCTTTTAATAATAAAGTAGGGGCAGGGGTAGGGAAGTGGGGATGGAGAAAATGTCCCAGCGGCCAGCGTATGGCTCACGCGAGTCATCTTTTCTGTCCGGTCCTTTCTCTTTTTAATGCCTTGCTTTTGGAGTGTGAAGTGGGTGTTGGTCAGTGACAATAAATTATTTTGAATCATAATGAAAAGCAGGGAGTGCCCTCTAAGGGCACTTTCTCTGTCTCTCCAGCCACATTGCTCTAAGTTCACCACTAGAAATTGCTTTGTGTACAGAGGCAGCCACAGTGGATTTGTGTGGACAGGAAGACATCAGAAGGCCAAGGAGGGTCTTTCATGAAAACCATCAGCCCCTTACCCAGGTCACTCTCCGAAAGACCACCTCTTACTCCATCTGCTCTTCATTTCCTCTCCCTCTGCCCCTTCCTGTGCTCAACTTCCATCAGCTTGCCCTTTTTGTTTTGATTGTATAGATTCATTTTGTGTTGCCATGATTAAATCTTCCATACTGTGTCTACAGAGGGAGGCTAACAACGAGAAGACAAAGTGTGTGTGCTATTCTAATGGATTGTAATTGCCGTGAGCTGCTGATTGGGTAGTTCACTGGGATTACATTTTATTTTTTTGTGGGGGTCCATCCCTTCCATTCCCTCAGTCACTCAAAGGCTCTCCCCAGTTTTGTTGGCTTCACATTTGGACCATGGTTTTCTTGGGTAGTTTTAGGTTTTTCCTGTAGTTTCTTTATTTTCCCTTGTAGAGAAAAGAAATATACCTTTACCATCTTCCTGAGGTCTTGCAGCTCCTTCTGCTTTCTGCCTGTTGAATGGAACTTGTTCTCTTATAACTTGAATGGATGGAATTTTAGGCCTGCTGCAGAGCTGTCATGCCGGGTTTGTTTTTTTTTTCCATTCATTCCTGGGTGAGCTGCACAAATTCTTGTATTTTGTGCCCCTCCATTTCTCTATTTGAACTCTATCAAAATGACAGTGAAACCTAAAGAAACCACTCCCAGTCAATGCACAGGAGACAGTCTTGGCATCCCTGCATTCCTCAAAAGGTCCTTATTTTGTCCTCACACCAGAAATAGAATTCTAAGTTCACAATTTTCTTAGAACATAAAGATTTTTCTCTGCCATGTACTAAGTGTCCAGAGCTTTTTTTATTTTTATTTTTTATTTTTTTTAGATATCTGGTATCTAATTCTAAACCTTTTGTAGATGCCCTCTTTTATTCTCTCTGGAAGCACCTAGGATCTTCTCTTTATCCTTGTTAGTGAAATTTAATAAAAATATGCTTGAGAATAGGTTTATTACAGTTGACCTTGAACAACTCAGAGGTCAGAGGCTCCAGCCTCCTGCACAGTCAAAAATCATTTCATAACTACGATCAGCCCTCTGCATACACAGATTCCCAACCATGTAGTTGGCCCTTGAACAATGCATGCTTGAACTGTGTGGGTCAATTGAAATGTGGTCAGCTGAAAAATCGAACCCATGTACTTGTTCAAACCTGCTTCGTTCAAGGGTCAACTGCAGTTTTTTAGCTTTTTCACTGAGTTCCCATAATTGGGCCTTGGTAGTGGGAGGTACTTGTTCCTCTCGAGTTCCTGAGACATTGACTTTTTTTATGGCTTTTATAGTTTCCTGCCCTATGGTTTCTTTGTTTTCTCTGTGGGAAATGCCATTAGACAGAATCTGCTCCTTCTTAGTGAGTTTCCATGTCTTTTATCTTCTTTCATATTTCCCATTCCTACCAAAAATTGGGTCCACTACCTGGGGCATTTCCTTGATTTTACTTTCCAGTACTTACACCTGATGTTCTGTTTCGGAAGTCACGTTATTAATTGTAAGCACTTTTTCACTTTGTTGATTTCTTTTTTTACTTCACCCTTGTCTGGTTTTAAGGATGGAATAGTTTCTTCATGCGCACGCACACACCACTTTCCTCCAGTCGGGGTTTCGGTCCATTTACCTGTAGTCTCCTGTTTTCCTGTGATAGTGGGCAACCCCGTGGGGTCCAGTCATATTTAAGGCCAGAAGCCCGAGTCTAAGTGGACGTGCCCTTCCTGCTCTATCAGGTGGGCGCCTCTGCCTGGCTGTGTGCGCAGCCCTGTTTGCTCACAGGTAGTTCTCCTGACTCAAAGGCCGAAGGGCTGTGCTGTGTCCATGCGTGGATCCCGAGAGTAGGCAGCAAGTTGCCAAACTGAGGCGGGCCCTCCTCTAGGGATGCTCAGGACGGCTGTGGTGCCCCCTCTAACTGCTGCCCTATATTTAGTCCTGTCGCCCGCAGCCTCCACCCCTGTGTGGCTGAGGCTCCCACCTGCCGCAGCCCCCGCCCACCGCGCACATTCAGAGCGTGCTGGGTTTCACCTGCCCACACGCTGCCTTCCACGCCCCATTGCAAAAATTGGTGGCTTCGTTTCTGATGTCTTTGCTATTACCTGTTATTCAACATTGGTACTGTTATTCCAGGGAAGTCTAAGAAGGAAGAAGGGGGGATAGGCTCATGTGCTTCATTTTGAACCGGAAGCGCAAGAGCTCTTCAGAAATTCAATCATTTCTCAGCCCTATCCCAGCAATGGCCAGTCAGCTCCATGTCAGCAGGATGTTCAGAGGACCACCCGCTGAGGGTACTTACCACGAAAGGGCCCCTGTGCAGAGGCCCCAGCTGCGCCTCCCTCCCTCTCAGCCAGCTCCACACCTGCTAATGCCGCTCTGCTTGCAGGAGATCCTGTCTGCCTGCTGGGCTTTTGACCTGCAGGAGAGGCCCAGCTTCACGTTGCTGATGGACATGCTGGAGAAACTGCCCAAGCTGAACCGGCGGCTCTCCCACCCCGGGCACTTCTGGAAGTCTGCTGAGTAAGTACCCCTTCAATGACCAAACCTGCTGGCCAGGCCTTGGTGGCCTCACCCAGGGCCTTAGAGGGCGCCGGTGTGCCCAAGACTGGGGGATATGCTCAAAGCAGATTAGCCAGGGGTCGCTCATCCCTCCCCAGTGATGCCAGGATCTCATTCACCACATTCATTTCGGAGACTCCTTTGGACAGGCGGACGCCTCTAGTTCTTCTCTGTGAGAACTCGCCTGTCACGGTTCTCAGAGCAGTGCTGACGCCAGGCCAGGCCAGGCCCCAGTGAGAGGACCCTGCCTAGGGCAGGGCTGGACGGGGCCAGTTAGAAGTCAGAGCAACCTGGGTACCAAAGTCAGCAGAGTAGCTGTGGCTTAAAATATTGCAGACCCAAGACAGAGCTTTCTAGTCCCCAAATCAGCCACCTGGTATGGGGACCCCGTGGCCTGGGTGTATGTGGTAGCCTGGTGCTAGCAGCCCGTCCCTGCTTGTGTGTAATGGCACAACCCTCTGCCCCCTGGGCTGCAGGGGTGGCCTCCACTGGGCCGTGCAGACCTCTGTCGTCTCTTCTAAGTTCTCCGTCATTCCCTTTCTCCTTTGTCCCTCGGGCCCACACTGTACGGACACATGGAACAGACCTCTGCCCTGCCGCGAATGTTGTGGGAGCACCTCGGGAAGGCCTTCCTTGTGGCAGGCCTCGGTTTCCAGAGCTTCAAAGAGTGTGGGATGGGCAGGATTGGGAGGTACCCAAATTTGTAAAAGGCCACATGGGACCTATTTTAGGCTGAGAGGGAAAATCGAGTCAGAGCGGCTGTCGCTGGAGGGTGTGGAGCTGTGACAGCAGCACGGTGCCTGTCCCCACGACCCGGCTCTGCCGTCTGCTGTGGGAGCAGGCTGGCCGCGCCCCAGGCAGGCTGGGCTTACAGGCACGGAAACATGGCCTCCGTGGAATGCTGACATGTCATAAAATCTACCTTTGATCCCCCCACCGCCAGTCATTTACAAACGTAGAAACCATTCTTAGCTTGTGGATGGTACAGAAACATGTGCAAGCCATAGGTGGCTGGACCCCTGAGCAAGATACACTGTTGTAAACGTTTTAAAAGGCAAAGAGCACTTTGTAGGGAAAACTCCTACAGCCCCAGCACGTAGACAGATAAAGAGCCTGTCTGCCCCACACCCACACACTCGTCCCCGTGGCCCCAGGCGCCATGTACGCGTGTGCGCACCTGCAGTGCCGTCGCCGAGCCCCTGGAGCTGCGCCCGCATCTCACACCTGCTGCCCAGACATGTGGTTCCAGCCGCACTCCTCTCACTGCAGAAAGGGCCAGTTACTAAATCCATGAGGCCTGTGGGTTTCCGACCCTTGCCCTTACTTGGTTTTCTCTTTTTTCTTTAACAACTCCTTAAAATAATCGAAACCTTTTTAGGGTCAGATATGGCTTACACATAGTTTGCTAGCTCCTGTCCTGAAAACAAAGCAACCCAGCTTTAAGTTACAGGTGCGGTGAGGCCCAGAACGGGCTGCAAGACGAGGCTATACAAGTAGGAGAACCTGAAGAAATGTAGCAAACTTTGTGAGGCCAGTTGCAAGGATGGTCTGGAGAAAGACCATTTGTGGCTAGAGAGTGCTGTGTTTCATGATGCAAAATCAGCTTCACTCTTCTGTTCTTAAGGTGGGTCAGGGTCCAATACAAATAGGGGGTAAGAGAATGTTGCCATGAAAAGTGTGGGTTTTATCCAGCCATTGCTGAGTACCTGCTATACACCCAGGAAAATAGAAGGCCAAGGCCAGACGTCGGCCAGCAAGGAGTTTACAGTCTAACTGGGGATACAGACAAACAGATGTCCACTACAAGTCTACGCAGCAGGACTCTGCCTCGACTCCTCTGTATTCCCAGCTCCTAGCGTAGTTCCAGGAATATAGTAGTTTCTCAGTAAACATTTGATGGGCGAGTGAATGAATGAGGGAATGAGTACAACATGCTGAGGGCTGTGACGAAGTGCGGACGGGGCCTCTCTGCCCACCCAGGGAGCTTGAGGAAGAGTCTCCAGAAGGGGTCGCTGGTGCTGGGTTTTGAGTAGGAGCTGTCCCGGCAGAGACCAGGACCCAAAGGTTCTCCTGGACTTGCAGGAAGTTCAAGGACCTGGCTTGTCAGATCTCAGGCAACTCATTGAACAGTCTGAGCTCTGGTTTTCTCATCTGCAAAAGAGAAAGCTGTGCCAGGTGACTGCTGGCATTCTGGAGATGGTCCCAGGTTCCCTAAAGACCACAGAGCCCCACCTTTTCATTTCACGGATGGAAACTGAGTCACAGGTGAGGGCTGTTCCTGGCCCAGTAGGATCAGTTTTAGCCTCTTAAAGAAAAGAATATGGCATACTTGAATGAGTCTGTGTCAGAGCTTCCTGTTCATGATTTTGACTTCTATACATTCAGCCTCTAATTCTCATTTTCTTCTTTCCCATCCGTCTTGCTGCTGCTTTATTTTCGGGGGGTGGCTGATGCGATGGCCTGTCCTGTCATCTCTCCCTCTCCCTTCCATCCTGGTTCCTGTGGCTCCTCCTCCGCCTGCCCACTCTGGGGGCCCGACTCCATCATCTGCTGGACTTGGCTTTTCCCACACCTGGCAAAATGATCGCGGGGCCGCTCCCAGTCGCTGGCGGAGCCGATACTACGGGAAAGGACGATACGGCCACCCTGACTTTAAGAACTCCTGCCCGGTTCTGGAGGAATAGTGTGTCTTGTTATTTCTCTCCTTCTCTGCCTGTTTGCAGTTATCCCTGGCACACCCCGCTTCCTGTTCTGCCTGCATCCAGCTGCCTCATCTTTGTGTGACTTTTCCCCATAAACCAATGGCCACCAGCAAGGGCTCTGCAGGCTCGTATTCTCTCTTCGGGCTGAGAGAAGACCCAGAGCGTGTGTCAGCCTCTGTCCGTGCCCCAGGGCAGAGGGTGGCTTGTGCCTGGGTGGGAGAGCTGGGATCATTGTCTGAGTCCCCAGGGTGCCCTCTGGCCAGAGCTTAAAGAAGGGAGCGCAATGAGCAAAAATAGCAAGCTCCAGGAAGTCTGCTTGAAAGTCAAGGACTGAGGGGTAGGGAGTGCACTGGCCAATTTCTGTATAAGGTCCTGTGACTGGGCCCCGGGAAACTCGAGGAAGGTTCCTTGTGCCAGGCTCCCTGCCACGCACGCTCTGCTGCCCGGCCTGGAATGGAGCAGGGACGTCCCTTTCTCTGTCTGCAGGGAAGAAGGTCCCCTGCCTTCTGACCTAACCAGGCCTTGGCCGCTCCCCATCCCCACTCGCCCGCCCCCAAGGGCTCAGTTCTTACGTTGCTCTCCCCTTCTCTTTCTCCCATAGGTTGTAGGCCTGGCTGCCTCGCGTGTGCCTGGGGCTTTCTTCCTCCTAATCGGCACTCGGCACGTGGCTTCTGCTCAAACACAAACTGAGAGGCGGGCACTAACCCCGGGGACGCCATCTCTGCTGCTCCAACCTTCTCTCCTGAGACTTCTTTTGCTTTGTTTGTTTTTAAAACCGGCCCCCTCCCTCTCCACGGCCTGTGTGTGCCTGCATAACCGACCTCCATGGAAGATCCCCTAACAAATGCCCCCGGAACCGCCTCCTTGAACCTGACTTCATCCTGTATAGCTGTTCCTCTGCGGGGTGGTACCATTTTTTGTCTGGGTGCTCCTGTCTCCCTACTAACAGCTCAGTGAGATCTGTTCCCTCCTCCCACCCTGCCAGCCGGCATGTTGGCCTCCCAGTGGTTGGGTTCAAAAGACAGGGGGAAGGGTTTTGCTTGGCTGTTAACCCATAGGGATCTTGTCCAACAAGGAGTGGGATGATTTCAGAGCTGCACAGGGCCAGTCACCTCTGCAGGGCTGGCAGTTTGGACGCCACAAGTTCTGTTCCCATAAAAGACACCAGCGTGGAAGGACTGTGCTCAGCAGCACACTCGGGAATGTGGTCCTAAAGCAGGGCGGGGTTGTCTTCATACAATTTTACAAATAAAGCAAAGCTCCTGCCCCTTCTTACCTTCCGCGCTACCCCCTTTCCTTCTGCCCAGTGCAGACGGAAAGCACCAGGCCCCGAGTCAGCGTTCATCAGGGGTGCAGCTGACGGGCGCACAGTCACTGCAGTGGTCACCAAGGGTGCGTTCCTGGGGCCCCCAGACCTGAATCCGGGCTTCTGCAAGCAGGCCCTGGCAACCCACATTTCAGCCTGCTTCCCAGGTGGCCCTGATGCACTCCAGTGCTGGAGGAGGACCTTTTCTAAATGGGACACGTGATGTCTCCGTCAGTACTGGGGGTCAGGTTTCTCTTCTCTCCCAATTCCTCTTGGAGATAGAGCTTTCCTGGGCTGCAAATGAGACTGCAGCTCCGAAGGGCCCGCAGCAGTTCCTGGGCATGCTGGGTGCCGGGGATTCTGAGATAAACAAGCCACTGCCCTCCAGGAGGAGGGGGTGGCCGAGGCTCAGCTCCTCTGGCCAGGTATGATGAAGAGCAGCTCGGCTGTGGAATCATTCTCACTTCCTGGTGGGCTGGGTCCTCTGCTGAGCTTCTGGAACTGGCCCGCTCCTTAGCTAATGTTACCCCAACGTTGATCAAGACCAGAGGGGGCTATAACCCTTGTCTTTGTTCCTCTTTGCAGCATTAACAGCAGCAAAGTGGTACCCCGGTTTGAAAGGTTTGGCCTGGGCGTCCTGGAGTCCAGTAATCCAAAGATGTAGCCAGCTGTGCAGTTTTTCCACCGTTTCTTTTTCCTTAAATGTGTTTCTAAAACATCCAAACAACCACCACAACAAAAGGCAGCACTCTGCGACACGGCAGCCACTCTCCGAAGCACTGTGAGACAGGAGCGTGAGTCCTCAACTCAGACGGTTCATTCGCAAAAAACACTTTGGTCCTGGAGATGGAGCCGTACCTGCTGTTTCTTAAAATGACATCAACAACCAAACCTGTCCCGACAGGCAGCAAATGTTTACATGTATGTTTGTGCGGAGTGAACTCAATGTTTTACAATAGGTAATAATAAAAACAGGCCTTGCAGAGGTGCCCTGGCACCGTCGGACGGGGCAGCGGAGGTGGCCGTCCCCTCTGGAAAGCCCTGTAGGCAGTGAGCCCACGCTGGGCCAGAAGGAAGAAGTGTGTCATGATTGTGGGTGTCCTTGGGGTAGGACAGGGGGGCCTCAAGCTTTGGCCCTAAACCGTGTCAGAGACTCTCCCTCTGTAGGGGTCGCCCTTGTCTGAAAAAACGGACACTGTCCCTTCCTCCTCTTGCCCAGGAGGCCCTGGTGAGGAGCTGAGCTGCATTATGAGAGTCGCCAGTTCCCAGAGAGCTGAGGTTCATCTCAGACCCCTGCAATCCAGCCCATAGGAGCTGGAAACAGAGACAGGTGACGTCCAAGTAACACCTACACTCACCCAGTGGTTCTTAACCGGGGTTTCCGCTCTCTGTAGAGATGTCTCCTCCATGAAGCCCGCAGGGAGGCATGAGGAAATGCCTCTGCTTTTCAGACACATCCCAGTCCCCTGACCGACACATGACCCCACAGCTAAGACCGTGTGTTCCGTGGAGGCTCCCTGAGAGCAAGACAGGTGCAGGGGAAGAAACAGCAGCAGTGGGTCCCTGAAGCCACCCTCCCAGCCACAGGGTGACCTGGCTGGCCCCTTAAAAATCCAAGGGTCCAGACTTGCCCATCTTTTCCCCCTCAGCATACTCCTGGCACCCCTCTGTCCATGTCCAGAGCCAAGATGGAAGGCATGTGTCCCCCCTTTCATTTAGAGCCACCTAGCAACTGCCCCCCCGCCCCGCCAAGTCTTCAGAGCCTTCCCCAGTCCTCTGCCTGAACCAGGAGAAAGGGCTCAATTTGGGAAAGTTCATGATGTGAGAGCATCCTGCCTGTCTTCATTGGAAACAGCTGCCTAAAAAGAAAAGCTCCAGGTGGCAAAGAAGCCCTTCAGTGGACATCATGTCACCTTAGGCTCCAAAACCAGAAAAAAACAAGGGTGACAAGAGTGGCCAGGTGGTTGGATTCAGACCCGGAACAGTTGTCTGCTCTGAGCCCAGATGGGGAGGCACTTGGTCCCTTTCACTTAGATGCTCCTGGCAAAGCTCCTGATCTCCAGGGCCCTCTCTGGAGTCTGGTCAAAACATCATGAAGAAGGGTGCTGCCCAGAATCTGTGGGCTGTGTTTCCCTCCCTAGGCCACCGCCCCTTGGCTGTGATGGCACAGCTGCGAGGCAGCACCAGGCACCCAGGCTCCCGCTGCCCATCAGCGCTCCAGACATGAGCGCCTTGCCCCATCTTGCTGTGCGGGGAGTTACGTGAGAGCTGGAAACCAGTGGGGTTCGGCTCCATGTGGGTCTGTTCTCTGTGGGACTGTCTGTTTCTCCCTGACATGGCTTTTGCCTTCCCCATCAGCCCTCTGCACGATCACCCCCACCCAAAGCCGCCCCTTGTGTGACTGCTGCCTGCCGACCTTGCCCTTGGAACCCCTGGCCATGCTGGAGAGCCCAGGGCTTGGACAGCAGTTAAGCAAGTCAGGCTCAACGCCTCCCCAGCCCCAACTCGGCCCACAGGAAGTCAGTCTGGGTTTTGTTTATTCTCATGTGTCACACTTGTGAGTCAGTTCAGGAAGCTTTTATCGAGCACCTGCTGGGTCTTGTGCACGTGCTGGGGGCCTGGTGATAGGAGCAGTTGCAGTCCCCGCCCTTACGGAACTGACGATCTGCCAGGAACCCCAAGAGCATAGCTTAGGGCCTGGGGGTCACCCCCTTCTCCAAGGACCCGGGCAGCCTCTTAGCCTGAGCCTCTCCCCATCATTTAAGAAAAGCACCTGAGGAAACCGCCATGTGGTCCCCTTCTCCCTCTCTCCAGTTTAGAGACTGAATGAGGTTAGGAAGACACGCTTGCCCTTCTGTGAGCTCCTCCCACCCCTACACTCCCCTCCTGCCTTGGAAACACATGAAGGACGGCAGATACTGTGAATTCAGCCCTCATGGCCAACTGTGAAGGAAAAGCTGGGAGGATCTCCGTGGTGAGAGCCCTGGGGTTTGCAGAGGTCCCCGCTGCGGTCTGGGAGTGCAGCCTACACTTTGCCCTTCAGGGCCCAATTCCCTGCCTCACCTCCAAAACCCTAGGGCCTGTCCCTGCTGCCTTTGGCCACCAGAGTCGCAGCCATTGGGTCTCCATCCAGCTAGAGGTCTTGGATCCAGCGAGGTCCCTGTTGTGAATGGTGTGTAGCAGCGTTGACCTCTCCGTGTCGCCAAATCAAAGGTGTGAGCAGGGCCCTGGAGTCTCTCTGCCCCCTCCTGGCATTTCTCGTGATCCCAGAATGGGGGTGGGGCGCCCTGTGAGCCTCTGTTGTGTATTGATTTGGGGGCCAGGTGGAGACGTAAATGCGAAGCCAAATAGGGAGCTTGTGGGATTCTGCACCATTAGCCAGGGCTTCATCAGCCTGTACAAACCCAGCGTCCCCTGTGGCCACAAGGCACACACTTGCATTTTTGAATGTGATGTAAAATTTGTACAGTAAAAGTTTTTATATTTTCTATCAACCGCATTTGTCTTCCAGAAATGCTATTAATTTAAATTAAAATGATTAGTATTAACGGACTTGCTGTATCACTTTTGCCACTAGCAAGAACATACTCTGCCGGGCCAAGCCTGGGGATCTGGAGTTTGAATAAAAATATACCAAGGAGTCTGGGGCTTGTGTCTGCTTGGGTCAGTCGGGTGAGTTGGGGGACTGCTCAGGTGGACGACGTGGGAGAACACGAATGGAGGGAGCGCCCTCCAGAGAAAGAAGTTACGTGCGGACCTCGAAGGCAGGTAGTTCTAGACAGATGGAGGAATGGAAAGGGAACAGCATCAAAGGTCCAGGGTGCACAGAGGAAGGTCATCCAGCTACCCTTGTAGCGGCTGGTGGTCTGTCTCCTCGGCTGGAGGTGCTCTTGCCTTGTGGAAGCCTTGGTTGTGGGGGGAGTGGTCACTTATCTACATCTAATTTCTAGGAGCCTCTCCTTGCCAGTAACAGAGAGATGGGCTTTGGAGGTTGGGGAAGGCAACACAGAAGAGATAGAGAATGAGTATTTATGGGGCCCCCTCTGAGCCAGGGAGGTGCTTTCCCTGTATCATCTAACCTTCATCCAATTCCTCACATCACAAGTGAATGTTGTTGTGGCGTTCCGACTGAGGAAACAGGCATGGAGAGGTGAAGGTCACCTAAGGTGACACAGCTGATGGGCGGCCAGTCCAGGACTCAGACTTCAGAATCCCACTCATCACAAGTCAGGGGACTTAGCAGACATTGAGCATCTACTTATGTTCAAAAGTGGTGCTAAGTGCTAGGACACAAATAAAAGGGCAGAGTGCCCTTGCCATCAGCCATGGGCCAGTGAGGAGCCCAAGAAGGGGCCCTCAGTCTGCATGGCAGGCTTCGTGGAGAAGGTGGCCTTGGAGCTGACTTGAAAGGTAAGTAGTATGTCTGGTGCATATAAGCAAAAGGAGAGCATTCTACCCTGCAGGAATGGCATATGCCACGCCTCAGAGGCTGAGAATACGTGGTATGCTTGGAAATCATGAGTATTTCAGCTGTTGTAAAATGGAACCTGGGTGTAGAATGAATCTGGAGAGAATCCTGAAGGTGCCAAGCCACTGAGTTTAAGCTTTAACAAGACAGCCCTGAGAAACCATTGAAAATTCTTGAGCAGGGGAGGATCATAATCAGATTTAAGTTTTAGCTATATAGGATGGATTGGGGTAGAACTAAACTAGAGGCAGGAGAGATAATGAACAGATCTTTGATTAGATATGAGGAAGAGGTGAGAATCCAGGATAATTTCCCAAATATCTGCCTTCGTGGCTGATGGGCTCCTTCATAGCGGTGACCCTATGGACGGGGGACAGGGGAGGGGTCATGCTCAGGAGGCATCCAGATGAGACCTGGTAGAGGGACGCCACCAGGAGGTGGAGCCCAGGAGCCAAGGCCGGGATGTGCTAAGACCCTGCCTTGAGCCAGCACGACCTCCCACGCCTCCTAGCACCTGTCTCCTTGTTTATAAAGAAAGTGGGCTCCTGCTGCCTAGACTAGTTGCTGTGAAGATGGAATAAATGAGGGGTGTGAAGCGCTCAGTGTGTGGTGAGTGCTCAAATCCTGATGGCTGCCCCCAGCCAGGTTCTGCACCCCCCACTTCCCGGAACACCAGGCCTCTTCCCTGGAAGGGGAGCTGCGCCGTAACCCTGATGACGCCCTTCTCTCCAGTGACCCCAGTGTCTCCAGCAGCGAATTGCCTTCAATGTTTGTATCACGCGCTGGCCCAAGATGCTCTCAAGATCCCAATGTGGGTACAGGTTTCCACCTCCCACCCCCATCCCATCTTTACATTAAAAAAAAAAAAGAAAAGAAAAAAGAAAAAGAAAGTGGTTGCCCTGGCCGGGTAACTCAATTTGTTGAGGCACCATCCTGATATATCAAAGTTGTGAGTTTGATCCCCAGTCAGGGCACATATAAGAAACAAGCAATGAATGCATTAGTAAGTGGAACAACAAATTGATGTCTCTCAAGTCAATAAATTAAAAAGAAATTGTCAGTCATTTCAGTAAGTTTCTAGGCTGGGCAGCAGAGCAGCACTGGAGAATATCCACAGGTAGATTCATCCATCTCACCATCACTGAGGAGGACTGAGTGTCTACTATCTTTTCCCTTGAGCACACAGCTGGGCCAGTACACCAGGGGTGAGAGGGGATCGGGAAGGCGAGTAGAGGGCCTGCGTTCTTAACCTTACCTGATCCCTCCTTCGCGGGGTGGATTGGGTGAGCCTTCCATGGTAATGTGGAAGGAAGGCCTGAGTCATGGAGCAAGGGGCCAGGGATTTGCCATATTTCTCAAACACCACAGCCATCCCTGTCTGCAACTGGGTCCATTATGATGGCTGCAGGGAAAGGACTGAGGAGCAGCTGCTCCATGTGGAAAGAACAGTAGGATTTAAATGGGTGAAAACCACTGAGAGAGATGGCTGCCGAAAATAATAAAATCATCTTAGAGTGCATTACCAGAAGTAGAGTGTCTAGAAACAAGGGAGGTGAAAGCCCCACACTGTTGTGTGTTGGTAAGATTCCTTGGGTACAGGGTCTAGTTCTGGGCACACCAGGAGGCCCGAGCAAAGCTACAGAATGTCACTGAGTGCCTACTACGTGGCAGTGCCATGCAAGGTGCTTTACATATATTCTCTCATTTCATATCAGGTAAATTATGTGAGACAAGTATTCCCCCCATTTAGAGAAGGAGAAACTTAGGGTCATGAGGTGAAGTAATCTGTCAGGGTCGTCCATCTGGCAGGGGAAGGATCAGCTTGGACTTGAAGCCACATCTGGCTGACTCAGTGAGTGCTTTTGCTTCAACATCTGGGCTCCTTTAGACAATGGGCCACTCCATGGAAAATACCAGTTCATTCCGCATTACACTCTTCCCAGGAGATCCCTGGATACAAAAGAGAACGGACTCCTTGTTCCCTCCTGTTCAGCAGAGCAGCCTCTACCTCCCACCTTCTAGAATGGCCCCCGGATGAGATGCTGTTGACAGGACCCAAAGCTTGAGCCTAACACTCTGGGCTCCCCGCTCCCCAGGCATGGAAAGTTTTGTTCAAAAATGAAGCCGGGAGTCTGATTCTGGCAGAGCCCTCTCAGCCCTGGGCGGGCACAGAACACAGAGCCACATTCCCTGCGACAAATGTTGCAGCCCATGAAAGGAAGCTCTGTCCCATGAAAAGACATCTGAGAATTGAGGCAGGGTTGTGCAGTGGTTCGCGGCACAGGCTGCTCTATTGCTCCAAGAAATAGAATGTGGTGGAAATGGCACTGCCTGGCTTCTGGGGTTAGGTTATATTTATAGAGTGGCTCCCATTCTCGGCAGAGATGAGCTCTCCCCCCCCTTAGTTCTGCCCAAGTTCAGATTTATGAGCCAGATATATGTCTTTTGAAGCTACTAAGTTTTCATGTAATTTTATGCATCAATAGATAACCAGAACATGGATTCACCTCTCCTGCTAGTCTCTGTTCAACCATTTTCCTTAACTAGATGCTGAAACCATTTAAAGGCAGTTTATTTAATATGTCACCCTGATCTCCATGTCACTTGAATGTTCCATTGTGTCCAAGACTTCTCGTCTCCTTATTTAAAGCCCAGAAGAAGGGAGAGAGGAGTCTCTCTCCGCCATCAGGGTTTGTGCAGTTGATTCTTCTTTGCCATGTCTTCTCACAAGACTTTCAGAATCAAGAGCTTCCTGGTCAAGAAACAACAGCTGAGTTGGCCCATTCCCCAATGGATCCAGATGAAAACTGGTAATTTCAGGTACATCTTCAAGAGGAGACATTGTAGAAGAACCCAACTGGATCTGTAAGATATCACACATGACATTGGAGAAGAGCCAAACTGGGTTTATAAGGAATACCATGTAAGAGATGGCTCACATATTTATGTTCTATCCAGGTTGTCTGCCATTTAAAATCGCTAAAAAATTCACTACTGTCTGGACAATTGGGCATTTTAATTAAGAAATCATTGAAAAATGATTTTTCTCTGTTGATTTTTTCCTGCAGTAGTGCATTGGTTCATTAATAAATATGAGGCCATTTAAAACAAAACAATAAAAATGGAAAAGGAAAATAGAAGGAGGAGAGAATAAAGAGAAAAATTCATAGACAGGGGATTCTTCCTTTCCTCCCTGGCAGCCTGTGGTTTATGCCCAGGGAGGTTATGTATTCTCCAATAAGGTCTTGTGCTTAACGGTTTGGCTTTGTTTAATTTTCTTTTCTCAGTTCCCTCATTCTACTTGCCCAGGAATTTCCTAGCTCCTATTATCCCATCTCATTCCCCTTTCAGAGACTTCCATCCCTAAAATCTTTTAAGGGTGATGGGGGGTTGACTTATCAATAACTGCTTCCTGCTGATAAGGGTTGTAGTTCCTGCCCATGTAGGGTACAGAAGTCTCTCCCTGCCTGATATAAGGGAGACAAGGGACATGAGACTGGAACAGAAAGGCCATTAGCAGATTTTTTCAAAGTAAGGATAGGCTGGAGTCCCCAAAATTTCATCATCTAAATATGGAATTGTATCCAAGTCAGCCATCTAGTCCTGACGACAGGTTCATTCAGCCAAATCGTTGAGTCTCATTTCAGGAGGTAGCAATGCAAATGGGCATCTAAAGTGAGACCTATACTGTCTAAACAAGTAACCAGGTAAGCAATGTCATAGTGTACACTCTACAAAAACAGAAAGAACACAAAGATTAATAAACACAGTCAATCATAAACCAGGTCTTGAGTCTGGTTTATGACTCAAGCTATAGCTATAAGTCAATGATTAATTAGAATTGCTTTGCCAAAGATCTGGTAAATAGAAGAAGATTGCTTATGTGCAAGCATTCACGTTGTTACATCATAAGGATTCTACTCAGAAAGGATTTACACTGATGGTTTAAAAAATGAGAAGATCTCACTCCCCTCCCAGAATGTAAAACTCAGAAAGAATAATCATGAGGAGATAAGTCTTTTAAACACTCTAAATCCTCCTGGAGGCCTGCAGCTGGAAGTCTTGGGAACAGAAGGGCAATGAATGCCACTCCTCAAACTCTGCTGGTTGCAGAAGCAGGAGGGGCTCCTGCCTCTCCTCAGTATGAGCGGGAAATGGCACTTTGAATGCGAGGGGCTTTCTGTCCGAACCTGATTATTCCCCTGCCTCTCCTCCAGCCTCCTTAAAGTTGTCAAGGACAAAAATAAGAAATATATCAAATGTCTTTTTTTGGATCATGTGATCTGGAAAGTTATTTGATATTAAACCTGGTTTAATTTTAATATATTTTCAAGTTATTAACATAAAATATATGTTTGTTCTTCCTGGGTTCAGATGAAAAGACTTCCAAATGCAAGACTTTCACTGGAATGAAATTAAGCAGTGACAATCTAATAGAACCCTCTTTATCTGTAGTTTAAATGTCTCTGGTAATCAGATGAAAAGACTTCCAAATGCAAGACTTTCACTGGAATGAAATTAAGCAGTGACAATCTAATAGAACCCTCTTTATCTGTAGTTTAAATGTCTCTGGTAATCTGGTGATTTTATACCTTATACCTTCTATTACCAAACCATACAAATTTCTTTCCAATTTAACTGGACTTCTTAATTCTTAGATGCCTTGATTTTCAGTGACAACTAAAAGTAAGTAAGTAACATTCTTTAGGTTGATACTTTTATGAACACATTGCATAACCTCTAGAAACAGGTTCTTTCATAGGCAAACACACATTTTCAAAAGACATACTTCAAATAAAGAACCCAGATCAATTAATATTTCAGTATCTTGTTACTTCAAAATATCTAGGTATTTGTTTTCACCATTGAACCCAGCAGAACTCAAAAGTTTCAAGTCACCGAAGGCTTGGGAAAATTATGTTTAGGCACACATATATAATTATTACTAAAAAGTTTGATCAAAATTCTTCATTTATTAGTTTATTTATTAGTTTTTAACAACCTTATGAGATTTTAAAGTCAATTATTACCCAAGCAATTTTATTGACATATTAAATAAACTTATTCCTGCAAACCCAGGAAGAACAAACATATATTTTATGTTAATAACTTGAAAATATATTAAAATTAAACCAGGTTTAATATCAAATAACTTTCCAGATCACATGATCCAAAAAAAGACATTTGATATATTTCTTATTTTTGTCCTTGACAACTTTAAGGAGGCTGGAGGAGAGGCAGGGGAATAATCAGGTTCGGACAGAAAGCCCCTCGCATTCAAAGTGCCATTTCCCGCTCATACTGAGGAGAGGCAGGAGCCCCTCCTGCTTCTGCAACCAGCAGAGTTTGAGGAGTGGCATTCATTGCCCTTCTGTTCCCAAGACTTCCAGCTGCAGGCCTCCAGGAGGATTTAGAGTGTTTAAAAGACTTATCTCCTCATGATTATTCTTTCTGAGTTTTACATTCTGGGAGGGGAGTGAGATCTTCTCATTTTTTAAACCATCAGTGTAAATCCTTTCTGAGTAGAATCCTTATGATGTAACAACGTGAATGCTTGCACATAAGCAATCTTCTTCTATTTACCAGATCTTTGGCAAAGCAATTCTAATTAATCATTGACTTATAGCTATAACTTGACCAGTCAGCTAAAATTCGACCTCACAGACTCCTGATGGAATTAATACCAAGCTTCCCCTTTTCAAAACAGGAACAAAAAAGGCAAAATTGAAATAAATGAGTCCTCCAAATGGTGGAACAGGGACTTCTGGCCAAGATGGAGGTGTAGGTAGATATATTTTGCCTCCTTGCACAACCAAAATAAGGAAACAACATATTTAAAAATAAAAAAATACCCAGAACTGTAAGAAAACAGAACTGTATGGAAGTCCGACAACCAAGGAGTTAAAGAGGAAACATCCATCCAGACCGGTAGGAGGAGTGGAGATGGGCAGCCGGGTGGAGAGGACGTGCGGCAAGGCGGCAACTGGCAGACTGGGCAGTCCCACATTTGCATGTGGATAAACTGGGAGGAACAGCTGGTGAGTGAGACCACAAAACCCAGGATTCCAGAGCTGGAAAAGAAAGCCTCAAAACCTCAAGCTGTAAAAATCTGTGGGGGTTGCAGTGGTGGGAGAAACTCCCAGCCCTACAGGAGAGTTCATTAGAGAGACCCACAGGGTCCCAGAACATACACAAACCCACCCACCTGGGAATCAACACCAGGAGGGCCCAATTGGCTTGTGGGTAGCAGGAAAAGTGATTGAAACCTGGCAGAGAGCCGAGCAAGTGGTCTTGTTCCCTCTCAGACCCCTCCCCTACATACAGTGTCACAACACAGCGACCTGGGTGGCCCCGCCCTAGTGGATACCTAAAGCTCTGCTCCTTCCAACATAATAGGCATGTTGAGACAAAGAAATATGGCCCTGAATGAAAGAACAGATCAAAGCTCCAAAAATAGAACTAAATGATGAAGAGAGAGCCAACCTATCAGATGCACAGTTCAAAACACTGATAATCAGGTTGTTCACAGAAATGGTTGAGTATGGTCACGAATTGGAGGAAAAAGTGAAATTTCACTATGCAAAGTGAAATAAAGAAAAATATACAGGGAACCAACAGTAAAGGGAAAGAAACCAGGACTCAAATAAATGATTGGGAGCAGAAGGAAGAGATAAACATTCAACCAGAACAGAATGAAGAAACAAGAATTCAAAAAAATGAGGAGAGGCTTAGGAACCTCTGGGACAACTTTAAACATTCCCACATCCAAATCATAGGGCTGCTAGAAGGAGAAAAGGAACAGCAAGAAATTGAAAACTTATTTGAAAAAATAATGAAGGAGAACTTCCCCAGTCTGGCAAAGGAAATAGACTTCCAGGAGATCCAGGAAACTCAGAGAGTCCCAGAAAAGCTGGACCCAAGGAAGCACACACCAAGACACATTATAATTACATTACCCAAAATTAAAGATAAGGAATCTTAAAAGCAGTGAGAGAAAAAGAGACAGTTACCTACAAAGTAGTTCCCATAAAACTATTAGCTGATTTCTCAAAAGAAATCTTGCAGGCAACAAGGGGCTGGAAAGAAGTATTCAAAGTCATGAAAGACAAGGACCTACATCCAAGATTACTCTATCCAGCAAGGCTATCGTTTAGAATGGAAGGGCAGATAAAGTGCTTCCTATATAAGGTCAAGTTAAAGGAGTTCTTCATCACTAAGCCCTTATTATATGAAATGTGTAAGAGACTTATCTAAGAAAATGAAGATCAAAAGCTATGAACATTAAAATGACAAACTCAAAACTATCAGCAACTGATCCTAAAGAAAACAAAAACAAAAACAAACTAAGCAAACAACTAGAACAGGAACAGAATCACAGAAATGGAGATTATAGAGGAGAGAGGGGGGGATAGATGGAGGAAAAGGTACAGGGAATAAGAAGCATAAATAGTAAGTACAAAATAGGCAGGGGGAAGTTAAGAAGAGTATAGGAAATGGAGAAGCCAAAGAACTTATATGTATGACCCATGCACATGAACTAAGGTCAGGGGGTATGTTGGTGGGGAGGGTGCAACAGGGAGGGGAATAAGGAGAGAAAGAAAGAGAACAACTGTAATAGTATAGTCAATAAAATATAAATAAATAGATAAATAAGGGAACAGGAACTAGCCTTAGAAACTTGTCTCACACTACCTTTCATTTCAGACAGACAAGAGAAACAAAAGTGAACTCTCAACAGAAACTGACTTCCTCCCATGGAGGAAGAGAGAAAAAAAGACTAACAGACAATGAGAAAAGCAAAAAAATACATGAAATCCATATATCAGAGCCAGAAGAGTGTTCTAACCATCCCACACTGGGGAACTGGAATTTTTCTTGTCACTGAGCCATGCGTGCCACTGAGAGTGGTGGGGCAGGGGGTCTTGGTTATTCACACCAGGGACTTCCCCAGTTGGGAAGTTTGGAGTCCATTGACCCCAGAGAAAAGCCAGTTTACCAGATACTTGTTATAGAAGAGCTCAGATTTGTCCCTAGGCCACCAGATGACCAAAGGCCATAAACCAGATGGACTCTCTAAGAACAAATCCAATCTCTTTTTTTATTTTTTAAAAAGATTTTATTTAGAACAGACCGATAACAGCTGGGGAAATTGAAGCAGTAATCAAGAAACTCCTGGCACACAAAAGCCCAGGGCTGGATGGTTTCACAGGAGAATTTTACAAAACATTTAAGGAAGAGCTAACCCCTGTCATTCTCAGACTATTCCAAAAAATCCAAGAGGAGGGAAGACTCCCAGACTCTTTCTATGAGGCCAGCATCACCCTGATCCCAAAACCAGATAAAGACCCTACAAAGAAAGAAAACTACAGGCCAATTTCACTGATGAACATAGATGCTAAAATCCTCAACAAAATATTGGCAAACCGCATCCAGCAATACATTAAAAAGACTATCCACCACGATCAAGTGGGATTCATCCCAGGCATGCAGGGATGGTTCAATATACGCAAATCAGTAAATGTGATACATCACATAAATAAAAGACAAAAACCATATGATCATCTCGATAGATGCAGAAAAAGCATTCGATAAGGTACAGCACCCATTTAAGATCAAAACACTCAGCAAAATGGGAATAAATGGGGCATTCCTCAATGTAATAAAGGCCATATATGAAAAACCTACAGCCAATATCATACTCAATGGGCAAAAACTGAAAGCTTTCCCACTAAGATCGGGAACACGACAAGGATGTCCGCTCTCACCGCTTCTTTTCAACATCGTATTGGAAGTCCTAGCCACAGCAGTCAGACAAGAGAAAGAGATAAAAGACACTCCAAATAGGAAAGGAGGAAGTAAAGCTATCATTGTTTGCAGATGACATGATAGTGTACATAGAGAACCCTGTAGTCTCTACCAAAAAACTCCTCAACCTAATAAGTGAATTTGGCAAAGCAGCAGGATACAAAGTCAACATTCAGAAATCAAAGGCATTTTTGTACACCAGCAATGCAATAGAAGAAGAAGAAATCAGAAAAAAAAAAATACCATTCGATATAGCAAGAAGAAAAATAAAGTACCTAGGCATAAATTTAACCAAAGAGGTAAAAGACCTGTACACAGAAAACTATACAACATTGAAGAAAGAAATTAAGGAAGACACAAATAAATGGAAGCATATACCGTGCTCATGGATTGGAAGAATTAATATCATCAAAATGTCCATACTACCTAAAGCAATTTATAGATTAAACGCAATCCCTATTATACCAATGACATATTTCACAGAAATAGAACAGACGTTTCAAAAATTTATATGGAAATGTAAACGACCCCGAATAGCCTCAGCAATTTTGAGGAAGAAAAACAAAGTAGGAGGGATCACAATACCGGACATCAAACTCTACTACAAAGCCACTATACTCAAAACAATCTGGTGCTGGCACAAGAACAGACCCATAGACCAGTGGAACAGAATAGAAAGCCCAGAAATAAGCCCAGGTCTCTATGGGCATCTAATATTCGACAAAGGGGGCAGAAGCATAAAATGGAGCAATAATAGCCTCTTCAACAAATGGTGTTGGGAGAGCTGGACGGCTACATGCAAAAAATTGAAATTGGATCATCAGCTGACACCATACACAAAAATAAACTTAAGATGGATAAAAGACTTAAATATAAGTCGCAACACCATAAAAGTCCTAGAGGAGAACATTGGCAGGAAACTCTCAGATATCCCACGCAGCAATTTTTTCACTGATATGTCTCCTAAAGCAAGGGACATAAAGGAAAGAATAAACAAGTGGGACCTCATCCAAATAAGAAGCTTCTGCACGGCAAAAGAAAACATCAGCAAAATGAAAAGGGAGCCAATCATATGGGAAAATATATTCGCTAATGATACATCAGATAGAGGTTTGATCTCCAAGATATATATAAAGAACTCACTCAACTCCACTCCAAGAAGATAAACGATCCAATCAAAAAATGGGCAAAGGACCTGGGCAGACGCTTTTCCAAGGAGGAGATATAGAGGGCCCAGAGGCATTTGAAAGGATGCTCAGCATCACTAGCCATCAGAGAAATGCAGATCAAAACCACCATGAGGTACCACCTCACACCGGTCAGAATGGCCATCATAAACAGATCAACAAACAACAGGTGCTGGCGAGGCTGTGGAGAAAAGGGAACCCTAGTACACTGTTGGTGGGAATGCAGACTGGTGCAGCCACTATGGAAAGCAGTGTGGAATCTCCTCAAAAAGCTGAAAGTGGAACTGCCTTATGATCCAGTGATTCCCCTGCTGGGACTATACCCTAAGAATCCCAAAACCCCAATACAAAAGAACCTATGCACCCCAATGTTCATAGCAGCACAATTTACAAGAGCCAAGTGTTGGAAGCAACCTAAATGCCCATCAGTAGATGATTGGATCAAAAAGTCATGGTACATATACACAATGGAATACTACGCAGCAGAAAGAAAGAAAAAGCTACTACTCTTCGCGACAGCATGGATGGAACTGGAGAGCATTATGCTAAGCGAAATAAGCCAGGGGGCGAAAGACAAACACCATATGATCTCACCTATAAGTGGAACCTTACCAACAATACAAAGATGCAAGGAAAATAAGACCAGCAACACTGAAAGGAAAAGAAATCAACAGAGACAAGAGGGAAGGAGGGAGGGGGGGCAGGGACAAAGAAGGGAAGGGGAAAGTCAAGGAACATATAGCAAGGACTCATGGACAAAACCAAAGGGGAAGAGCTGAGGAAGGGAAGGAGGGAGGGGGCAAGGGAAAGTGGTGGGGGGTTGGCAAAGACAAATGTATTTGAAAAAATAAATTAAAATAAAATTTAAAAATATATATATAATTGCCTAGAAAAGGTCAGCAGGATATTCATTCTCTTCTAAAGTAAGTTCCTTTTAGTGATTAAAAGTTAAGGATAACTGAAAAAAAAGATTTTATTTATTTATTTATTTTTAGAGAGAGGGAAAGAGAGGGAGAATGGGAGAGAAACATTAATGTGTAGTTGACTCTCTTGTGCCCCCTACTGGGCACCTGACCTACAACCCAGGCATGTGCGCTTTCTGGGAATTGAACCAGTCACCTTTTGGTTCACAGGCCGGCACTCAATCCAATGAGCCGCACCAGCCAGGGTGAGAACAAATACAATTTCTTACTGGAAAGTCAGGTGACAGGGGGCGCCAATAGTCAGAGAAGGAGACCCCAAGTAAAATCACCTGACAGGTAGGGAGTCTCCAAATCTGCCCCCCCAGAGTCCACAAGTCCAGACAGCCAACAGGACCCACAGCCAAATACGCAGACTTGCCAGAGAGTCCTGAAGTCCGTCCCACCAAAGTTGCCGGAATTGAAACTGGAGGGCAACCACGTCTGGGGTTCATGCCGTCGGTCACCGCTCAGCCAAAAAGCAGGGACAGGGATTGGATTATAATTTCACTTTTATTAATATGAGAGGCTAGCAGTCTGAGAAGATGGGGGGTTAAAACCCTAACATCCACCTTACCTTGAGCCTCCAGAAGCAAGTTTATATAATGGAATAACGTAGGAATTTGGGAGGGGGAAATTCCCAGGAGGAGCTCAGACTTTCTGTGTCTCTTGCGCAGGGCGGGCGGGGGTGGGGGGCGCGGGGTGGGGGGAGGCTGAAAGGCAAGTCTGCAGCTTCTTCCCAGGCTGGCTCTCTTGTTCCCTATTATCTCTCCCTTTGCAACAGAATTCCTCTTCCTCTCCTCCCCAGGTTAATTGCCAGGGAGATTACACACTCTCTGATAAAGTCTAGCACTCAACTTTTTAGCTTAGTTTACTTTTCCTGTCTCTGTTTTCCCATTCCACTTGACTAGGAATTTTTGAGCTTCTTATTATCCTGTCTCACGGCTGCCATCAGTGAGCGGTGTGACCTTGGACATGCCCCTTAGCTTCCCCAAGCCTTGGTTTCTCCGGGTGTAAATTAGGTACAACTGGCCTTCTACCCCCACCCCACCCCGACCAGTGCGGCCCTGTCAAGCCGCCCCCTGTTTCCCGGACACCGTGACGGAGCGTGGGCAGGAGACAGCCACACACTAATGGGCAGCAGCATCTAGAAACTCACTGTCGTGTCAGGGTGGCCAGGCTCTTTGAACATCTTTGTGAACCGAACCTGATTCACTCTTGTGCAGCGCAGGAGGAGAGAGGAAGGAAAATATTTGTGGTGGGAGTGATTACTTTTGTGTCCCAGGGTCCTTGTCTAGACCCTCCTCCCTGATTTCTTCTTGCTCCTGGCTCCTCCCCACTGAATAACAGCCAAATTGTTTTGGTTTCTATTTCTTTGTTAGAGACCGTCTGGGTGGTGTGAGAAGCAGCCGTGACCACACAGGTGGTGGAGAGATGTCTTCCAAAAACGTCGTCGAGCCTCTCCTTGTGAACCCAGTGAGTGTCCAGGCTGTGGGCATGGGCGGTGCTGCCCGGCTGAGCTTCTGCCTCTCCAGGGAAGCAGCTCTGGGTCTCTGAGGAAACCACACTTGGGTTTCCTCAGAAACTCAAAGAGAACACAGAAGGGCAGAAAAGCCAGGTGGGGCAATCCGGATCCGTGCAGTGGACGAATGCTGCCTGAGCACCCAGTGGGTGCCAGCCCCGTCCTTGGTGCTGAGAGGGAGGAGGGCACCAGTCATCCCTAGAAGAGTGATGGTTTTGGGGGCTGGACGAGGAAGTAAACAGAGCTTCTGGGGAGGATGAGAGCTCAGCACGGGGCTCTTACTATGGAAGTGGCCTCCCTGGGTTCAGCCATCTACTGTCTGGGACATAGGTGACCGCAGTCAAGCGACTTTTACCTCTCTGGGCCTCAGTTTCCACATCAGTGCCACAGGGAGAATCCTTGAGTCACAGCCCAGAATCGGGGTAAGGATTAAGTGAGGTGGCATGCCAGAATGCGCGAACAGCGCCCGGCGCCCTGCGGGGAGAGGTAACAAGAAGGGCAGGTCGAGGGCGTCTGCAGAGGGGCTGTCTGGGGAGTGAGGGAGGGGCAGGGCTGTCCCTGCGCTGAGGGATGCATAGGTCTGCGTTTGCACCTTTTTGCCACATGTGTGGGCCTTGTCTGCAGGTGGCTTTGTTTAAACCCTCTGAGCTTTATTATCCCCACGTCATACATGGAAAAACTGAGGCTCAGAGGCATGGAAGCCACTTGCCAAATGTCCCCAGATGGGAAGTGGCAGAGAAGGGAGGGGCCTTGATTTACCCCCAGAAGAGGGAGGTGCCACAGAGAGAGCAGTGATGGGGGACGGCAGGCATGCGGCAGCCCCAGGCCCAGGACGCCTGCGTGGTCGCTGTGTCCCGGTCCCGGCCCCATGGTGTCAATAGGAGCCGCTGCCAGGCCTGGCCAGCAGTTTCCTGAGCGGAGGGGGGAGCGGACGGCAGAGCCCTCTCTGGGTGGGGGGCACGGGCTAGGTGGGTGGGCAGCAGCAGGGGCTGGGGGCGTGGCGGGGAGGGTGGGGAGCCGCCAGGGCTTCGCGGTTCGAGCCCACCCCAGCAGGCCCTGCCTGGCCCGCTCCCTGCAGCAGTCGCCGGGCCGGGCTCACCGGGAAGAGGGGCTCATGGTGGGGCTGGAGAAGGCTGAGCCGGGCCCGGGGGGCTGCTCCGGGGGCTTCAGGGTCAGCGCCTGCCACCTTGGGCTTCTTCCCTGTCAGACGGGGGAGCCCAGAGCTCCTTCGGGGCCCTGACATTTTCTTATCCTGGCGACCGGTTTGTTCTTTCCAATGCCTGGCTTGAAAAGCCAAACTTTTCGAATCAGAAGGAAAATCCTGCATGAGCGGTTCAAACAGGGCCTTGGAGTGCAGACAGAATGAGGATGGGTGTCGCCCCAACAGGAGCACGGCCCGCCCCGCAGGCTCACCCCTCCCGGTGGCGGCCGGTGGCTCCTGGCAGTCAAGAGCCACCCCCTCCCTCCCAAGTGCACCGGGCGGGCAGGCAGCCTGGCTGCTCTGCTGAGGAGCTCAGCACGACGAGGGTCTGTCTTGGGGGCCTCACCCCCCATTCCCTGCCCCCCACAAGCCTCCGGGGCCAGGATGGAGGCTGGAAGCACAAGCAGGACAGGACGCGCTGTCTGCTCCGGGACGCGCTCGGCGAGCCAGGAGCGAGGGTGTTCTGTGCTTGCTCGTGAGCAGCAGCCTGTGGGGCGGTTCAAATGAAAAGCATCAGCGCTGGCCTCAAACCCCGCTCTACTGCTGACCAGCTGTGTGGCTTCGGACAAGTTCCCAAACCTTTCTGCGCCTCGGTATCCCCATATCTAGAGGTAGCACTGGGAATGGCAGGGGTGGCTGCGAGGATAACCAGTAACTAGCAGGGAAACCGGCTGCAAGAAACACCTCCAAACCCTTGGGCAGCAGCGCCCTTTGGCTGAAAGGCTCCCGCTGTCCCCTGCAGCGTGCCCCTCCGGCCTGCTGTGGCTGGGTGCTCGCTGGCCACTCTGCGCCCCTGGAACGGGGCTGCCTGCCCTCTAGCCTGTGGGGCCTGGCTCTGCTGCCTGAATTCCTGGTGGGGAGAGGAAGAAAGAGCCCTCAGCCTCCCAGCCTCGTCGGAGCTGAGAGCAAGGTCTGACCTAGCACAGGGATTAATCGGTCCTAAGTGAATTAGCTCATTCTGGGGAGAGCTGAGAGGACACTGTCCCTTTCAATGAGAGACACGAGATCTACCTTGTCATAGTCTCTACCACTCCCTCTTGTGCTCAGCCTGGCCATCTCATCCATACACATCATCTGTCTGGCCCCTATAAGCCCTTCATTTCAGAAGAGAATTGGCCTAAAGGGGAAGTTGGAGAAGACATTAACAACTAGGAAAATGTGAAAATTGACTAGGAGCTAAAGTTTCCTTGGTTCATGGAGATTACAGACCACATTAGATAAAAGGCATTCTGGAGGTTAGCGTAAAGGTCTAGAAGCAACCAATTTGGGAAGTTAGCTCAGAGAGACCAAGAGGGAAGGCTGTGGTAGAGACACCTACAATGTGCCATTCTCTTCCCGGACTTTGTCTCACTGAGTCATGCATCTTACACACAAGATGAGATGTATCCCTATTTTACAGATGAAGACACTGAGGCAAAGAGACGCTAAATAAGCTTCCCAAGGCCTCTCGGGTAACGAGGTGCAGAAAGAGGATCCAAACCTGGATTATATCTGGCTGTAAAATATGTGCTCCTCACCATAAACTTTGCCCCTTTCAAGTGGCCCAGGAAAAATAATTTGACAAATCAGTGCCGATGGAACCAAGGGGGAGTGGAAATACGGAGAAGGCCCAGGGCCTGGGGGCGGGAATGGGGGCCCAGGAGCAGGACTGCAGGAAGAGGCTGCCCCCCTGACTGACTGCGTTCCTTTCTCTGCAGAGCTTCTACATCAAAGAGGGCCTCAGGGTAGGATATCAGATCACTCTCAATGGAATTGTTCTTCACTCCGGTGGAACCAGGTACCTGGAGCTGCCTTGCCCCTCAGCAAACCGTGGTGCCTGCCCCTCAGGCTGCCTCACCCAACGCTCCCCAAGCAGCCTGTGCCCAGCTCCGGGGACGCCGGACAAGGGAGCCCGGCTCCTGCCCACGCTGTGTGCGACCCCTGCCATCTGCCAATAGTGTCTGGACACATTGACAAAGACACGCCATAGACCCAGAGATAGTGGGGGCTCCCAGTCCAAGGCAGCGCAGAGGCTGATGATTATGGCCTAGGATTGAACTCTGCACACTGAGACCCAGAGTTCAAAAAGTAACACTTCCTTTGTGACCCACAACTACCCTTTTTACTTTGACCCATTTGACTTACATGGAAATGTTTAAACCTACCATTAAGTGTACTTTGGTCACTTTCTGTTTCAACCTCTTTTCCAGATATTAGTAAGTCAATTCAAAGTACAAACATCTCAGCACCATTTCCCACCCAAGAGGGGACTTTGGGGAACAGGCAAGAGCCTGTGGCTGTGGAGCGCTCCGATCCCCTCGCAGCCTGGCTGCCCTCTGCTGAGGTCCGGGAGGTGGGCAGGTGTGGGCTCCGGCCAGATTTGGGTGGGGTCTGCGTACACGGGGGCTGGCAGCTGACGCCCTTGTGGACACGTAATACTCTCTTGGCAGCCACTCGGTCTCAATTCCAGATGTTTTCCCCCAGTGGGTTTTTGATCACCTTGCCTGGGGCCTGGGCTCCTTCTGGATCCCTTCACAGCCCTCCCAGGCTCAGCCCTGCCTCACCTCAGCATGTACATTCTCGAGGGCTTTCTCTGCCATTGCGTCCCTGCCAGGTGGTTGTAGCCACGCTCACCTGGTGCATGTCTGAGAGCCCCGAGAGCCCTCAGGAGACTCCAAGGAAAGTGAGGCACCCGGATCCCCCCAACCTCTAAAACCCTGCCATCAGGGAGTCTGGGGTCTCGACTCTGAATCTCCGCCCCCTTCCCTCTCCTTCTGCTTCTGCCTACCCCTCCTCCCTCCACCAGGAGGTCTTTCTACTCCCACCCTGCTGTCCCTGCGTCTTCCCACGGGCGCTTCAGCTCTCTCTCTTCCCAGGGCAGGATTGTCAAAGGGCCACAGGCATGGAGCTGGAGGACCACAAAAGGAACGATACATGCAGAGATATTTCAGAAACAATAGTCTCTGATGAAAAAGGAATATGGACTTAGGTCTTCCAGTTCCAGAGTCACTGAGAGCCTCCCTTCCTTTCAGCATCCCCAGAGGGAAGGCTGGCTGGGCCCTGGGCCACGGCAGTTCCCTGCGGGCCCTGCTCGCTGAGAGGCCACTGAGCGACCTGGTGTTGAGGACAGCACCCAGAACTCACCCTCCTCCACAGAGAAATCACAGCAAATGAATAGAATGTCTATCCAGGGCCACCTCTGGGCTTGGTACGCTGCCTGGCCCTGCGGCAGATGCAAACACACAACAACGGGGGGCCCTCTCTGAGCGCTGTGCCTTAGCTGGGGACCCTAGAGAGACCCCCTGGGGCAGGCGGTGAACCACGTTCATGCCGAGTTCAGGGAAGGCTGCAGTAGACGGGTGATCCCTTGGTGGAGAACCTCAGATGGGAACTGGTTTTAGGACATGTGCCTGGGAAAAGGCAGCACAAACATTCACTGTGCTCCTTTTGTGGGCCAGGCTCCTTGGAAGGTTCTTTTTTAATTCCTCACCTCAGAACCATAGCTTTACCAAAGGAAAGTTTTGATGGTGAGGGCTTCTTCCTCTCGGGCACAGAGAGGAAGAAATGAAATGAAAGGAATGAAAGTTTACTTGCGTGGGGGCTTCCCGAACACTGCCTCATCAATCATCCCCAAAGGCAGAGACTCGCTCCCTCTCCTGGGTGCAGTGACTTGAGGATAGTGTGGTTCAGGGTCAGCACAAACAGCACACACTGCAGAGCTGGGGTCTGGGTCCAGGCCTGTGGACTTTAGAGATATCGCTGCTCCACACCTCATGTGTGGGACACACGCCCAGCTCCTATGAGGAAGTTCTCGTGCCTGGAGACATAGTACTTATTCTATGTCTTGCCTGTTAGTCACCGTCTTTGTAGGTGTACTCCATCAATTTCACGTGTTCTGTAACTTTCTGCTCTTCCTTCCCAAATGTGTATGCTTGGGCTGCCCTCGAACAAGTGCTTGCTTTTCACGAGAGGCTCTTGCCTCTATGCATATTCACGATTCGCATCTTCAATTCAAACTTATAATCACTTTTATGTTTACTCTTGATAGTGTCTACATTTTTCTTTATCCATTTTCTACTTATTTTTTGCACCGGAAAGGGCAAAATGCCATAATTACACCAAAACACACAAAGTGCAAAAAGGTAAACAAAAGGTACTAGGTAAACAAAAAGGACGGCAACAAAATAATTATGGGAGCAAAGCTACCACATGGGATGTATGCCCGTTCCCAGACGCATGCAAGTCAGAAACAAGAGGGCTTCCCGTTCCTCCCATGGACAATGAACCAGAACGCTCTGATTTTCCTGGGCCCAGGTTTGCTGTGAACTTGCAGAATGGCCTCAGTGATCAGAACATTGCCTTCCACTTCAATCCCCGGTTTGAAGAAGGCGGGTATGTGGTCTGTAACACAAAAAAGGAAGGAAGCTGGGGCACAGAGGAGAGGAATATGCACATGCCCTTCCAGAGGGGGAATCGCTTTGAGCTCTGCTTGGTGGTACAGAACGAGGAATTCCAGGTGAGCAGGAGCTCCCCTCCCTCCCTCCCACTGCCTGTCCCCTGCCCTATCAGGCCTGGCCAAAAGCCTTGAAACAAGTACCCAGCAACACCATTTACAGACAGCAGGACCTCACACACCTCCACCTGCACCTGCAGGGGCACCTGCTGCTTCAATGACTAGGAGATAAGAACTAGATAAGTCTCCACGTGTTCTTTGGCTTCGGGTAATAAGTTAATTCCATTCCTTTGCAGTAGTCATTGTTCTCTAAGGTCCTTGGGATAACTTTTTTTTCCCATGGTGTGGAGTAGTTGTCATGGGTATGACATTGCACAGCCCTTATCTGGGACCTTGAATGGCCCAGCTTGGTACAGAGCTGCAAATTGCTTTTGCAGGCAGAGTGGTTCTGCTGGGCTGGGGAGACGGAGGCTGTGTCTGTGCTTCTCTGTGGGAAGGTGGATGTTCCCATCCCCTCAGGGTGCAAACTGGGGTCCCCCCTCCTCTGCCCTCCATGAGCATTTCATGCGTATTTAACAGCGCATATTTAAGTAACACCCCAGGGGAGCTAAGATTGGAAAGATGAAACTACTGCAATAAAAAAATAACTGTAAGAACTAAAAGCAAGAACCAGACCCAGTGGGTGATTGGGTTGGGATGTGCTTTGGATCACATGTGTGTTCTTGCAACTGGCGCAGCTTGGGAGGCTGGTGCCCTGACCCAGAGTGGACTGAAGTGAAAACCAGGCACGTCTTAGTTTTTAAAAGCAGGGATCCTGGAGGCTCAGGTGTGCTCCCCACCCAGCTGTGTGACCCCGCCCCTGGGTCATGCACTCTTGTTAACAGGTGCGTGTGGATGGAAAATTATTTTTGGAGTATACACACCGTGTGCTACCATTGCGCAACGTGGACACCATCTCTGTCACTGGCGGATTGGGGGTGTACAACTTTAACATCCAGCTCGTACCATCCAACTTGCACCCATCTAGTGCCCTGCTGTGTGGGTCCAAAGCTACCAGCCAATCTCCTACCCAGGTGACTATAGGAACATACCTCTGGTTCCCCCATCCTGTCCCTGTGTCACCGTCTCCGTCCAGAGCACCCACTCAGCCTCCTACTTCTTTCCACTCTTCTCTGACATTCTCTATTCCCACCCCAGTTAGCAGACCATGTGGCTCCAGAAATAAGCCTAGCTCAGATTCCAGCTCTGCAATTGTCACCAGCTGTGGGACCAAAGAAGTGACTTTGTCTCTCTTAGCCTCAGTCTCTGCTTCTGTGGAAGAACCATAGTCACTGCCGTCCCAGGGGCTATTGTGTGAGCTCAATGAGGTCTCAGAGGTCATAAAACAGCTCACATAGGCCCTGACCTAAGTGGCTCAGTTCTTTGGCAGTTGTCCCGCATGGGGAGGGGTCACAGGTTTGATTCCCCTTCAGGGCGCATGTTTGTGTTATGGATTTGGTCCCCAGTCAGGGAGCGTATTAGAGGCGACTGCATGATACTCCCCTCTCAAATCAATGTTCCTCTCCATCTCTCTCCCTCCTTTCTCCTCTCTCTAAAAATAAATCAGTATCTTTTTTTTATAGGAAGAGGAAAAATGCAGAAATCCAGCTTCGCCCCCACACAACGCCATCCCAGGCTTTAGGAGAGGCTCTGGGGTCACCAAGGTCAGTATCACTAGGCTAAATGTCTCTTCCCTACCCTGGGCACACTGGCTTTAAGGGTCAAAAGAGAGTTATTGCCACGGTGGTGTCTGCACTGTCCCCTCTCTACCCCTCCAGTTTCCATGAATATGGTTGCTTCCATAGTCTGGCACAGTGTGATGCTGTGCCAGCCTTTGATGAACACAGATCGTCTTGCACCACTTCAGTAAGTACATGCTGATTATGTCACTGTATTGCCCATGGTCTGAGAGGATGCTGTTACCTCCTCACTTATACTGCAAATGCCCTCTGAGTCATTGCTCTTCTTCACATGCTCTAAACATGGCTTCTCAGTTGACAGGGCTGATGCCATCTTTGTTCAGCCCTGCTCTCTACACATGGGGTCTCTCAGTCTTCACCGTCCCTCTTGCTGACATGGCAGGGCCTGGTTTTTGCTTTTTTTTGTTTACTTTTAAAACACACATGGAGTTGAGTCCCCTGCGTCTATCTCTAGCTATTTTTTTTTAGAAATGTAAATGTACTTTACATATGACTGAGAAGCAGAGAACTTAAATGTATAGTAGTGAGTTTGACAAGTGCCTATGCCCAAATAACCCATGCTCTTTTAAGAAAAAGAATGTTTTGCCCTGGCCGGGTAGCTCAGTCTTGATATGTCAAGATCGCAGATTTGATCCCTGGTCAGGACACATACAAGAATTGAGCCCTAGCTGGTGTGGCTCAGTGATTTGAGTGCCGGCCTGTGAACCAAAGGCCTGTGAGTGTTTCAGTTGCTCCATATTCCTGTGAATGAGTAGTGTTGTCAGTCTTTGTACTTCTAGCCAGTTCGATTCCCAGCGTAGGGCACATGCCTGGGTTGCAAGCTAGGTCCCCAGCAGGGGACGCATGAAATGCAACCACAAACTGATGTTTTTCTCCTCTTCTTCCCTCTCTTCCCCTCTTTAAAAATAAGTAAATAAAATAAATGCATTTTAAAAAAAAATCGACCACTGAATGCATGAATGTGTAGAGCAAATCAATGTTTTCCTTTCTCTCCCCCTACTTTCTTATCTCTAAAATCAATCAATGTTTTTTTAAAGAGAGAACATTTCAATCACTACAGAGAGATCCCTCCTGCCCCTTCCCAGGCAACCCCTAATCCCCCAACTGGCAACCACTATTTTATTCTTTTCATCGTAGGTTCCTTGTGCCTGTTCTAGAACTTCATATAAATGGAAGCATTCAGCATGTAGGTTTTGTGTCTGCCTTCTATTTCTTAATACAGTACTTTTAAAAAAGACTTTATGTTCTTATTTTTAGAGAGGAGAAAGGAGGGCAAAAGAGAGGGATAGAAGGCTGATTAGTTGCCTCCTGCATGTGCCCCAACTGGGGTTTGAGCCCTGGGGCCTGCGCCCTGACCAGGAATCAAACAGGCAACTTTTGCTTTGCAGTTAACACCCAACCAGCTGAGCCACACAGGTCAGGGGTAGCACAGTATTCTCGAGGCTTACCTACATTTTGTCCACCAGTAGCTTTTAAAACCATATAGAAATCTCTTATTGTATGGCTGGCTATAGTGTATGTTCATCCTTAAGCCTTTGTGCGGACATATGACTTTATACGCTTCGAGTAAATACTTAGAAGTAAAATTTCTAGGTCATAAAGAAGGCATATTTAACTTTATGAGAAACTACCAGAGCTATTTCCAATGTGCTTTACCATTGTGAACGCTCACTGACAATTATGTGAGTGTTTTAGTTGCTCCATATTCCTGTGAATGAGTAGTGTTGTCAGTCTTTGTACTTCTAGCTATTTTAGCAGGGTGATCAACAGAAGCTTTTAATTTTTTTGCGGGGGAGGGATATATAATTTTATTTTAAGTTTATATTTCTGGCAGGATGGTAAATACATCTTTTCCTACTGAGAGACAAAACATATTTTCCAAAAATGTGGATATTGCTCATTGCATTAAATTTAAATTAAAAGGTTCCCTATGTATATAGATGGTAAAAGTAAGCAAAAAGACAACACATTCCATTTTTAAATATATCACAAATCTTTCCAAGGCAACATTAAAATGATTATACCACAGTCCCTAACACAACATCAAGCTCTAACAGGAAGGTACAGAGGGCAGGAGGCTCCATCCAGTCGGGTGTAGGTGCTCTTCTTTTCATCACCCAGCAAATTCACGGCAGCTTTCTTGACATCTTTAGTGATGGCATCTGCAGCCCCTTTGGCTTTGTCCTTCATTTCATTCACTACATTGTCTACCTGGGGCTCATCTCCAGGAAGAAAGGACGAAGGATGTGCTTGTAGAGCAGTTCCGCCCCATTAGAGGGGCTCGGGGCCATGCATCACAACAGGAAGCCGCACGTCAGCATGTAGTAGAAGGGTAACCCTAACAGGACGAAGTCGGAGAAGAATTAGGCAATGCTGAACACATCGCACACGCCCCAGTAGGTCAGCCACTGGGTATCGTCAATTTGTTGGGACTCTGTACGGCTATAATTGAGATGTAGGCTGGGTAGCCAAATCCTATCAGGTTGCAGAGGAGAGGGGCTCCACAACCGAAAACCAGGTACAAGGCCACCGCTCCAATGACACCGAGCACAACGCAGCTCCGGTTCATGCCGGTCTTGGCCTCGAGCTTGGCTAAGAGGTCGGTCATGCAGTTCGTCTCATGCAGGAAGTGGTCGAGCCTCTCTCTCATGGCCACAGACGTAGCGGGGACCGTCGTGCCGCTGCCTGGGGCTGCTCCTAGCAAGGGTAGCTGCAGGGCAGGGTGACAGGCGGAGCCAGAAGGGCAGGAGCTTTTAATTTTGATGAAATCCATTCTATCTTTTTTTATCTTCTATGCTACCTTTTGGGTTCTGTTCAAGAAGGCTTTGCCTATACTCCAGTTACAGATATCCTCCTATATATTTTTCTAAAAACTTCATAGCTTTAGGTTTTCATTTACATCTGTGATTCATTTGTAGTTTATTTTTTTGTGTATGGTGTTAGGTAAAGTTCAAGGTTTATTTTTTCCATATACACAGCTACTTCATCTAACATCATTTGCTAAGAAGGATTTCCTTTCTGCATTATATTACCTTGGTGCCTTTGTTGGAAAACAATTGACCAACCAAATGTGGGTCTATTACAGGGCTTTCTATTCTGTCTGATCTATTTGTCTGTCTTTATAACAATACCTTACTTTCTTGATTATGCTAGTGTTGGGAAGGGGAAAATTCCCCCCTTCCCCCTTGGTTCTTATTGTTGCCAGAGGAAATAGGATTCTTTCATGGCATCACAGGGATACACGCACAGAAGGACTGAGGTATAGTGGTAAGATTACTTGGAGCGAGAAGAAAGGGCTTAGGTAATGCTCATCCACGACCAGGTGGCTCTGCTCCTTCTTACTTCCAAAAGAAGTCTAGCCACTGGGCCTGCAGGACTGCACTTGTCCCCACCAAGCCCAGGAAGAGGGCCACGCCCCAGCTGCCATGCCATCATTCTGGCATCTGAGTCTCCAGTAGTCCAACCGTCTCTGTTCCCATCCTGTCTGTGATCAGCACTGTGCTTGGGCTACACGGTGCTGGAGAGGGAGGCGGGGTGGGGGGGGGCCGAGGAGGGGAGAGTGCCTCAAGCCTTTGTTAAGCTTTGATTATATTTCCTTGGGTTTGGGAAGGTGTAAACTTTCTTTCAAACTATCTAATCCCTTTCCTAGAACTTCTGGGGTTTCTGCTCTCATCCTATCTGTTCTTTTACCCAGATTTTACCAGGCTAACACTTCGCCTTCATGGTCACCATTTTGGCTCCTACTGAACATACCTCATAGTTTTGCTTCCTCACTGGTTTCTACAGAGAAGGCCTCAGCAGGGAATTCCCCCCTGGGTGTTTATCCCCACTCCAGCCCACCCTCCTTAATCTGGGGAATGAGTAGGCTGTACCCTGGAGGGATTGGAAAACTGGTTTTTCCCACCTACTCCTCCAGTGTCTGAAGCTGTCCTTCCTAGATAGTCTGGCTTAGTTAGCTGCCTGGCTCCCTTCTCTTTCATTAATATCTAATTATCTGCTTACTGGAACATTATGGCTGGTCAAATAATTAAAATGACATAAGGCAGACTAATAGGAGAAAATGAAGAATCTGTTCTCTTTGTAACAGCCCACAGTTGTGTTACAAGCACAAACTTCATGTGCCCAACACTTCAAAGGAAAGACCAGTATTCAATCAATGAGAGATTTGAAGTGAGGAAAGGTTTCTTGATCGAGAAGGCCTAGCTCAAGAAGATGGGAGAACTGATTCTCAAATTCATCTTAAGAGAGCTCAAGATTCAGGCATCTTATATGTCAGGGAAGGGAGGATGGGTGAGACAAGATGTTGGTAAGGGCCATAGACAGCTAGTCACCCAAAAGGGACCATGCAAAATTCCTGAATTCCTTTGTTCTTGATTGACTGCAGCTGATTTGAGTTTGGTCCTGGAATCCCTTATGAATCTTGGATAGACAAGCATTGTTTTGAGCATATTTCCCATCTCTT